GACCTAAGTTCTGTCAACAAAACTTGGTAGTGTAGACAGGCCCCGAGTCACAGACTCGCTTCCTTCTCCACTCTGAGGCCAGCACAACGACTTGCTGCCCCTTTGCAAAGCCACACTTCGATTTGATTTTAAATGAGAAAGGAACGTCTTCTAAAAGAAGAGTTTGATGATAACAGGGCCTGATCCTCCATTGCTTTGCCTCATCGTTTACACTGCACACTTTGCACGGGTGCAAATGATGGCTCGTCATGCAGGGCAATGGGGAATCAGGCCCCTTTTAAGACAAATTGTTAGGAAAAGTTAGAGTTACTCCCCCTTCTGCCATGCTTCCTCCTGCAACACGTGCTGTGCCAGTCTTATTCCTCTTACTTACTGATGCGGTGGAAGGATGAGGTAAGCAAAACACAGTAGACATAGTGGAATCGAGCAGGAAGTTGTAATAATAAATGAATTCCTTTAAAATAAAAGGAGAAGGAAGGAATAGAGGGAGGGACCTAGGACAGAGTTTTCATTATCATCTACTTATATTCTGCATATGCAGCTCCACAAGACAGAAAGCTTGACATGGGCCCAGCCCTAAAGAGTTTGTGATCTAAGGCCCTTCCTTAGATTCTAAATGGACTTGAGTGGGAAGTGAGGGGACTCAGTATCACACAGGAGAGACTCTGCACTTGTGAGATTGCACCTTATTACAAGTAAGACCAAACAGGGTAATCTAGGCGAATGCAGGGAGACCAAGAGAGGGGAAGGCTTCATGGAAGAAGTAGGTTTTAAGGAGGGATATGAGGGACAGAGCCAAAGTCCCTTGAAGCCAATAGCAAGGCTTTCACTGACTTAATTGGGCTACAGATTACCTGTAGAGAAGGAGGGAGGAGATGCTGGGCTGGCAAGAAGCAGCAATATGTTGGGGGAAGGTTAGAATGTAGCTGAGAACAGAGAAAAGGAGCAAACAGGGACAGTCGGCCTAGAACCCTGATGCTCAGAGACCATGCAAAAGCTTAATGAATTTGTATCTCAGAAATATTTTTTTTTGGATGTGGCTTGGGTTTGAGTTCTAGGAAAGGAAATGTGGAGAAGGTAGTGGGAAGATGGGCATTATTATTTCATCCAAATCAGTTTGTCCATCACCAAAGGAATGTTCTGGGAGGGCAATTGGGTCTCAGATGTCACATGCTCACTGAAAACATACCAGCAGGGACTAACTTATTAACAGTCAGTCCCCATTTTCTGAGAACTAGAAGTTGAACCACTCACTTGAAATTGTGCATGGGGCCAGCATAAAGTCTCTGCTATGGTAGTTGCATGGCCCTTATTACCTTAAGCACTGAGCACTTCACAGCTGCTAATGTCATGAACCTCACAGGACTCCTGTGAGATAGGGAAGTGCCATAATCAGCATTTTACTGGTGGGGAACTGAGGCCCGGAGACCCAACTTCTATTGAAATTAATGGGAGTTCGGTGCTTCATCTGCATCTTTAGGCATCTCAAAACCTTTGACAACCGATTCCTAATTGATTTGCCTTAGGTCATACAGGGAATCAATAGCAGAGCTGAGAATGGCACCCTGTTTTCCTGAGTCCCAGCCTAGCATCCTAACCACTGGACCATCCTTCTGCATTTAATCCACATTTAATTCCTAGTCTCAGGATGTAAGTGCAGCATAGGGTTGTGTTGGGCCTCTGCACAGCGCTGAATTTCACCCTTAGAGATTATAGATTATTGTGGGATTTTGATAACACATCTGGCTTTTTCCTCCTTTCATTAAACAAAGCATGTGATGCATATTTAAGGTAAACTAACTAGCGGTGAGATGCAAAGATGCTAGTTATCGAAATTAAAGGTGGAATACACCAAACTTGCAAAAACTGTGATAAAATTTTACCAGCCCACGAACAAAATCTACTTGCCTGGCCATTACAGTGAGGATGAATGATACTGAAAAAGCAAATGATAGCTTACATGCCAATCAGATCATACTGTATGAATATATTTCTGATCCCCTACCTAGAGAGACGCTAGAAAGTATTAGGCGATTAGGAAATCCCTGAAACAAGAGGATAAACATTTAAAGTTACATCCAAGGCCCTTTCCACTCCATCCAGGGACTTCGTGCATCATCACATGGTCTGGTGCTAATATTGTCAGCTTCTTGGCATGCCGTAACCATCTTCAGGATTAATTTGTATTCATTTAGATTTTGAAAATACAGTTTTTTTAAAAAACAACAATTAATTTATGAGATCACTATGGACACGGATGATGTTCAAAGGCATTGTATTGAGTTCATGCCTTGGGATGAATCCTTGGGAAGAAGCCAGACAATTGTAAGCAAAATTGTTCAGATGAAGATAATTTTTTTGACAATCGAGTGCAACCATATTTATACTAACTGAGGATATGGCTCAGTAGATTTACTTTATTAGTATTCTTTTAAACAAAAATGTTCTCAGATTTCTATGCACATCTACAATAAACAAGCAAGCAAACAAACAAGTAAATACCTAGCTCATCTATAGATTTCAAAATGTTTTCGAGGAGGTCAGTATCATTATCCCCATTTTACAGATGGGGAAATCAGAGCACAGAGGGGCAGAGTGGCTTGCAACAGGCACCCAGCAGGTCAGTGGCAATACATTCCAAGTCTCCTGAGTCTCAACTCAATGGTCTATGCAGTAGGCAACACTGTCTTTATTTATAGTGATACATATTTTCTCACTTGCATAAGACCTCTCAAATACCTTACATCAGCTAGACACCTTGCAAACACGAATTAAACCATGCAACCCCTCTGCGAGGTTTGCCGTTATTAAAATACAGTTACATTGTGTGTGCACACACCCTTCGCAATGAGGCCTCTTGAGGTACTGGTGTTGATGGCTCTTGCCCTGTATGGAGCAACCATGGCTGGTTACACCTCTTGCTTTATTTGGAGGCAGCTGTCTTGCAGAAAGTAAACATTCTGTGTCACCAAGCTGGAGTGCCCCAAAGTACTTACCTCCAAAGAGCCTTTCTGTCCCAGGGGTGTTGCATTACAACTTTGTCCCAATGAGGTTTCGCTCCTTACAGACCTATCGCAAGAGGCATGACGTTAATGGAGATGGGAGAGAACCGTCCACCGTGGTGTTCTTTGCATGGGCAAAATACAGTCTGAAATTAAGACAGATCACATCAGCAGAAACAAATAGAATTAGAGATTATCATTGGCATCAATAATAACCTAAGAATACAATTGTGGCTTGTCAAAATGCCTGGGTTCCATTCTTTGAATATAGGAGGGGCATAGACCTAGTCACCAGTGCTGGAGATCAGGACTGTTCCATGTATTCTCTTCCATGTTCTGCCACTGTGTGGCCTTGGGCAAATCACTTAACCCCCTCAATTAAATGCCTCGGTGTTACCCATCTGGGAAATGGACACACTGTATATGGTGTTGGGAGGTTTAATTAAATAGTGTTTTTTAAACCTCTATGAAAGGGGAACAAAGATATTGGGTACAAATATGTGCACTTCAACTCTTTTAGGCCTCAATTCTGTGGCAGGTTCTATTAGCACCGACTTCTGGGCCCATGCAGTGTTCACTTGAAGCCAGTGTGTCTCTTCATAAGCCACAGGGTTTGCACTAGCAGATCCCAAAGCAGGCCAGGGCCCAGATAGGGTGTTTGGCCCACATGATCTCCTGTGAGGAAGGATTTTACATTTGTGACACTTTGTAAAAAAACGCTGTCACTGTGCCAAAGCTTGGGCTAGACTCTCCACTGCCCTGCACTTTATGTAGTCATTTACACTAGTGCAAAGTAAATGCAAAGTGATTGCAAAATGCTACCATTCTAATTTTGTAGAGTTTTACACCCATTTTGCAATAGCTTTAGCTTAGTGTAATGACTACAAAAAGTATCAGGCAACAGAGAATTGGGCCCTTGTCTTGGAATCAGTTTTTATTAAATTGCTACCTCTACTGATAGACTTACATATTGCAATCAGCCTTGGACTTGTTTTACTAATCCTTGTGAATCTAGACTATTAAGGAAAGCTCAATGTATTGAGACTTACAATACTGACTGACAGACAGACAGACCCCTAACTCTCACTGCACCCTGTAGATTAAATACATGTTATCAAAGCTTTTTAACCAAGGGTTAGAACTGAAAAACATGGAGGTTAATACCAATATTTCCAAATAAGGATGCTTTGAGATAGACACCTAAAACTATGTTTAAACACCTAAGTAAGGCCTGTTCTTCACTTGAAAGTTTTACTGGTATAACTACTTCTGTTAGGAGATGGAATTTTTACTGATATAGTATAGTAGGGGGAAAAACCGAGTGTGGACAGGGTTATATCGTATAAAGATGGCTTATACCAATATAGTTATTACACTTCTCAAAGCTAAACTGGCATAAAGCCCCTTTATTCACATAACTGCTTCCACTCTAGGGGGTTTGTACTGCTTTAGTTACACCGGTATAGTTAAAGCAGTATAACTTTGTAGTGTAGGCAAGGTCTAAATTGTAGAAACTTACTTTGTTTCTTTCCTTCTAGATTTTTGACTTCCAGGTTGTTCTCATTATTGATTTCACGATTTCCATTTTCACTTCTCAATATATTCCAAAGCTACATCATCAGCCCAAAGCGAACATCACTCATGCAGGCGTCATGGGGGAGGGGACATGAGTGCAGTGTTTATAAAATGGAAATGATTCACAGACTGGCCATTACTTTCCCCTTACTTATTGCTCAGAGCCCTACCCTGCCTTACAATTTAAATGCTAATCAGCACAAACTGAAATTCACATTGATTAAATGGTGATAAGTCAGGACCTGAAATCTTTGTGGTGCTGAAATCCATTGCATATCTTTAATTCTCCATGGAAGTATAAGGTGCTCAACATTCCACAGTCTCTGATCCTCTCTTCCCTAACCCTGTATTTACATGTAAAGGCATGAACATACATATAATCCCAACTCTAATGGCATAAAAAGAAAAGCCCCCTGCATTGTAAGCAGCCATGTTTGTTTTCTATCAGCCAGGCTAAACTAAAAAAGAGCCTTCGGACAATTCCAGTCCCTTTGGTGAGAGGCAGTAGCTCTGTGAAATCATTTGAAAAAAGCAATCAGTATATCACAATTCAAGTGACACCAACTAACTGGCAGGAACTTCCGCATGTAGTGGCATTGCTGTAACTTGAAAATTGTGCAACACCTTTAGTAAACACTTCCTCATGTAGGAACAAGAATAAAGCTGAAGGACCCAGTCTCCCTCCTTCACTGCAGAAGGCAGGGCAGGTTAAAGTAGGAAGAAGCTAGAGGCCAGTCTTTTTCCAAGCAAGGAGACCGCTTTCCAGGCTTAGCTGACATGATTAAAGTACTTCTGATTTCTACAGCTTTGCTCCTTTCTCAACACCGAGGTAAGTTTTTTCCCCTTTTATCAAATCGCTGCTAAGTACAGTGACAAATACGTTTCTATAGCTTTTATGAGTTTTTAATTATTAACAGGTGGCTGATACTGAAGAACCATGATTTCATTTGTTGTACTCACACCAAATGAAGTCACTTGAAGACAATGGCGTTACTGAATATAGAGGTTTTTGTTTCACTACTAAAGTTAAAAAGTAATCATTAAAATTCTTGAGAAAGGCAGATTAGTAAAGAAAACATTTTACCCGATTGACTAAACTGGACAAAGATTGACTCAAGACTTGGAACAAGTTTGTTCTGAGGAAGTGAGAAAACCATTTTTCGACAATTGTGAGAGAATTTATTCAACTTGGCTAATTTGTTGCATTTACAACATTTTAATTGTAAAAGAAATAATTTTATTGGAATTAAATGAACAGAAGTCGTCTACTTGCAATTGAAATAGAATGATAAACATATATTTATGCAGCACCAGGATAATACCTTGAGATCACTCAGAATATGATTAAATAATTATATATTAAATCCTTTCAATATTAAGTAAGTATAATTATTTAACCATATTCTATATGAGGTGCCATACATTAGTTTTTGAGTGTATTCTTGCTTGCTTGCTTGCTATTTGAATCAGGAGCAGATTTTCAGACCACGACATGCACAAATATTCGCACATGCAATTCATGGTCACTTGGACATGTAATTGTCTTCAGTGCACACACATATTATGTACAGAATTAAACAGATTTGTGTATGGAATTATATGCATTTTCTTGTGAAGAGTTCTGAAAATCTTCCCCTTGAGACTTTATATATCTTGATCAAACAGATTTCGTTTTCATGTGTAGATCCACACTAACTAGTGGTGTTAATTCCTGATTTAAGATGGTTGGGAAATTGCAGTATTTATTTATGCCTTATCACCAATATTTTACCTGTTGTAACAGATCCAGAATACATTTCTTGCTCAGAAAAAACTGAGTTAAAATCATGCCTGAAGCAAAACAAGATGACACTGTACATTCACTCTGAAGAACTGACTCTAGGAAAACTATTAGAAACAGAACAAAATATAACTGCCTACTTAACACACCCAGAATCTTGTAGCTAAAAATCCTCATATGAAATACATACCAAAGGTATTAAACTGTAAGGCTTGTCTCGACTAGAGAAAAGGTCAAGTTTAGATCAGGCTACCTAGCTAAACCCAACCTAACTTGAGCAATCGAGCCTGTAATTTGACTTGCTAAAAATCAAGCTAAAGGCGTTACTGTGAATCTGCAATAGGAAGTTTTGGTTAGGTTGATTTTACTAACACCACTCAACCACTTTTCCTATTTTAGACAAAGCCAAGCTAGGGGCTGTTTCAGGAACTCATATTCTCTGATTAGTGCTCGCTCACATTGTTCACTGAAGAGACCCGTTGATTTCACTGAAACTATTTACATAAGGAAACTATTTACTTCTCAAATGGAGAAGCTACAAAATCAGACCCATAGAAAGTAACATTCGTTGGGTGCTGAGCTCTTTTGAAAATCTATCTACAAGTGTCACAATGAGAGATGCTGGGTCCTGAGCGCTTAGGAAAACCTGGCCTTTATTTATGTGATTAAAATAGGAGCTACCACAATACCTCTACCAGAGGGGTAGGCAACCTATGGCACACGTGCCAAAGGCACCATGCAAGCTGATTTTCAGTGGCACTCACACTGCCCGGGTCCTGGCCACCAGTTCGGTAGGCTCTGCATTTTAATTTAATTTTAAATGAAGATTCTTGAACATTTTAAAAACCTTATTTACTTTACATACAATAATAGTTGAGTTATATATTATAGACCTATAGAAAGAGACCTTCTAAAAATGTTAAAATGTATTGCTGGCACGCGAAACCTTAAATTAGAGTGAATAAATGAAGACTCGTCACACCACTTCTCAAAGGTTGCCGACCACTGCTCTACCACATACTTCACTACTAAACAGACAGACATACAACATATCCACGTACACAAGGGGAGATGGAAAAAGGCCATTTGGGTCATCCAAGATGTCTCTCCTGCCACCTCCATCATGTACATGTATGTTCCCTACCTCCAGCACATTTTCCAGTGCTTTGCCCAGTCCATTTCAAATGCCACCAGCCACAACAGGTCAAAAATGTCATTGAAATAGAAACTTTTCATGGCAATGTGTCAATTTCAACAAAGTTTCAGTTTTTTAAAAACAAAAGTTGAAATGAAGCGTTTTGACCTTTTCAGAACAAAGCATTTTGAAGGTATGCATTGAAATGACTTTTCATTTCAAAATGTATTTTATTTTATATTATAAATTATGATACAACATATTTTAAAAAGTCAAAAATCAGAGCAAAACATTTCAACGTTAACACAATGGAATGTTTTGATTGGTGCAAAACAATTCCACCCCCCCTTCCCCAAAATCATTTTGTGGGAAACTTTGAATTTTTTTTGTTTTCATTCCAATTTGGACCCAGGAGCCCCACACCCGGATTCTAGTTCTGCACATCCTAATGCCCTCTCACTCTAGTGATCCTAATGGATTCTGGATGTGGCTCCATGCTCCAGACAGGGATATCAAGAGCTTTCACACCATATCACACTGATACTAGTGTATGACCCACACTGGGCGCGATCTGTCCAAAACAGGAGAGTGGCTGTCATCGAGAGCAGGGGTTCTCAAACTTCATTGCACTGCGATCCCCATTCTGACAACAATAATTACTACACGATCCCAGGAGGGGGGATTGAAGCGTGAGCCCATCCAAGCGGGGGGCCAAACCTGAAACCCCAGGGCTTCATCCCCAGGTGTGGGGCTTGTAACCTGAGCCCTGCCGCCCTCAGCTGAAGCCGAAGTCTGACCCCAGGCAGGGGATTCGGGCTTGGGCTTCAGCCCCGGGTCCCAGACAGTCTAACTCCAAACCTGGTGACCCTATTAAAACAGGGTCGTGATCCACTTTGGGGTCCCGACCCACAGTTTGAGAACCGCTGGATTAGAGGATGAGGGAACAAGAGCAGCTTGGAAAACAAGAGCAGCTGTTACCATAGATATTAGAGAATATTTCATGACTCAGTTCTGGATTGGTGACAAAGAAGCTATACGGATATGGAGATCTAACAGGTGCAGAGTAACCGTAATACTCTGATCCAGATCCAGCAGCTAGGATAGGCTGAACCGCAGTGGTACCAGTATTAGTCATTGTTCCATACCTGAAGTAGTGGGCACTGTACAGCCATTTACATTCCGATCACTTTGCAAACGCAATGGCTAATATTGCTCAGAAGGCAGCACAAGAGAACATTTTTGGCTACCAAATATTTTCGCAGCCTGGCAGCTGCTTGTAGCAGCAGCAATGCAAAAACTAGGAGACATATTGCCCATTGGCCCAGAACACTCTGGGGCTAGGTGCATCCTCTTTCTGCTGGGAATGATAAAGGGGCCTTCCCTTCCATTGTGAGACTATTTCTAATTGCCTCATAAAGTAAAGTGAATAAATGCCAGCAGTTTTAGCTGAGCTGTTTGTTCTGTGGATACAGAATAGTGTCCAGAGGACACAAAGCTAGATCTTCTCTGGAATAGTTTAGACCAGGGGTTCTCAAACTTCATTGCACTGCGACCCCCTTCTGACAACAAAAATTACGACCGGACCCCAGGAAGGGGGTCCAAAGCCCGAGCCCTGCCACCCTGAGGTGGGCAAAGCCAAAGCCCAAGGCTTCAGCCATAGGCTGGGAGCCTGTAACCTGAGCCCCGCCACCCTGTGTGGTTGGGCTCGGGCTTTGGCCCTGGGTGGTGAGGCTCAGGCCCTGGCTCCAGCAAGTCTAATACCAGCCCTGGTGACCCCATTCAAATGGGGTCCCAACCCACTTTGGGGTCCCGACCCACAGTTTGAGAACTGCTGGTCCAGTGCATCAGTCATATGGCTTCTGCTCTCTCAAAGCTTGTTGAAAGGGAGATCATGGTAGATGGAAATAATACAGGAGTAAAAGATTCACAGCAGCCACCTGGGATAGGAAGATAGACGGACTCGTGTATATACCCACATATGTCTAGTAATGATCAACATCACAAAGGAATCAGTAGCAATCCAGAACAATCAAGTTCTTCCTGAAGGCCCCTATGCAACTGGTCGGTTACAGCTATTATGTAATATGCTAATCGTACCTAATGGTATGCTAGATGCTACCCAATACGTACAAGTTCTCTGCTGCAAAGAGATTAAAAACTAAGTTAGATCCTGATTCAAGAAAGCATTTCTATTTCGGACAATACTTAAGCATGTGCTTATGTCCCATTGGACTTATATTTAAGTATGGGCTTAAGTGCTTTCTTGCATTGGGGCCTCAGATATAATGCAATAAATGGGTTGTACAGAAGGTTGGAGGAGTGAGCCCAGAGTTAAGATCATGGGGTTACTCAGCAGAGGCCGGTGTACAGCATGATGGAAAGATATTTAGAGTAAACAGACTTTAGCTGGCCCTAGTGCATAAAAGACACACAGGTGCCACAAATCCTGTGCAGCCTGAGTGGAAATTCTATTTATATTCCTCCCACTCAGAAACAATCAGAAATTAGTCTGTTCACATGAAATAGGTCAGATTTTTCAAAAACACTCATGCGCCTTGAAACAGATGCTCCTTCCCAGTCTTTCTTCTGTGCACTGCTCCAAGGTCTGAGTTTGTCGACAGAGGGATCTAGAAGCAAGATCACATCTAGCCAGATCTACAGGCTTAGCTAATAATTTAATAAGGGCTGGGCTCCCACAGCCAAATCCACAATGCCCATCTGAAATGCAATCTGCTCTCCTACCCTTGCGCTGAGCTCAGCATTATACCCAATAGAGTTTTGAGAGCCCTGAGAGGAGAATTTTGCTCTTCAGGTAGGACAGAAAACACACACTGGCAAAAGAGCACTGGCAACATGACTAGGGCCAGATCGTGATAACACAAGGGGAGCAAGAGAAGGAATGAGGAGCCGGCTCTGCATAGGGAAGGTACAATTGAAGCCCCCGGGCCTTCCTCAGCTCATGGTTAACTCCTTGCTATCACCCATTTGGTTGCAATCCACCCAAAAAGAGCCATGGTCCTGCTCCCATCTGCACACCAACCAGTGAAGATAGCCAGATGAACGGGGGGGAGGGTGGGGCAGGGGAGGAGGGTAACTTGCTGCACCTTCCTTAACACAATCCCCACCCACACCTACTCACCAGCCCCTGGGACAGCCGGATGCACCTGCCCCAATGAACTATCCACCCTCGAGCTAACACTGAGTTGATGCAGCTCTGAAATGCCCCCAGTGTGGGCAGGTGCCTATCAAGGTACAATCTGACCCTTAATACAGACTGCAGCTCTCCCATGGAATAATGGCACAGGAGACAACTGCTGGGTATTGCAAAATGTGCACATGCTGATGTACTGACTAACCATGAGGCTCCCTGATTACCTAACTGGTTTTCTTGTATTCTGGCATGATGAGTAGTGCTGTGCACAGCTGTTCACAGTGAAGTGTGCTGTCAGTCAGTCATGACCAAAGTTTCATAGCCTCAGGGCCTTTTAGCATTTAACTCACTCTGGTCTTGGATATCTACAGGGCTTTTGTGTGAATCCGTAAGAACATTTAAATAGCCTAAAGAGGAGTTAATTAATGAGATTTGGCCATACTAATACATACGCTTTGCTGGATAAAATAACCATATTCTACCAACTGATACTTCTAGAATGCAAGCATCTGTATGCGGTCTGTGAAATGTATTTTTCCCTAGGATAGTTTCCTTTGAAATTTTTCCGATTTTGGCATACAAAGATTCAGATTTTCAGGTTTTCAGTGAAAACCCTCTTTTTTGGGGACAAAACCAGAACTTTTTTGGCAAAAATTTCTGTTTCATCGACAAGCCATTTTCCATAGGAAAAAAAGACATGTTGATGGAAATTTTCCAACTTACTCAAGTGAGAAGGGGCAAAGAAAAATGGTTAGATCACACGCCTAGCCATCTAGCCTCTCGGGGTTTATTCTCAGCTCTGCCACTGACTCACTATGCAACTTACTTACCCTTTCTATGCCTAAGTTTACCCACCTATAAAATAGGGCTAATAAAAATACCTGTCTCACGCCGGTGTTATGAGAATTAACCATGCACGGAAAATGCTTTGATATCCTCAAGAGAAAGGTGCAGTCTCAGCCCAGGCTATTAATATTAATGAGTTCAGGCTAAATTTTCAAAAGAGACTAGTGTCCAATTTTTCCAATGCTCAACTTGAGACAGATGTTTTAGCAGGGCCTGATTTTCAGAGCACGTCTGCTTAGCCCTTAATGAAAATCAGGCCCTCTAAGGTTGTTGCAGGTTGGACACCCAAAATCCAAGGCACCAAAAAATCACTAGTCACTTTTGAAAATTTTGGCCGCACAATCCAGTGTTGCGTTTGGTTTCAGCACCATGTGGCGCCCAACTGCTTGTGCTATGGACTGGGTATAGTTTCCGCATGAGGAATGCAATATGGAAGCTCAGTTCTAAGGAAACATGGTGGTCATCAATTCTGCTTCCAGAAGAGATAGCTGCAACCTCTTGGCCAGCTGAAGATGAGAAAAAAGCCAATATGGCTGTTGCTGTCCCTGGATATTCTAGCAGCAGCTGAGGGGCTAACTACAAACACAGACTATGAATCCAATCAACCAATGATGGGCACACCCTCAGTCTAAGGGTCTGATATCACTGCTGCCATCTCTTACAGTTTCTTCCTGTGGCCAACATCACTTGGACTGTATTATGCAGGAAGCCAGATTAGCTGATCGTAATGGTCCCTTCTGGCTTTAAAATCTACGAACCACTCTTTCTCCTACAAACATCCTTCTACACAACTATATTGATCACAAAACAGCTGGTATGAAGTGTTCTTATATGGAACAAAACATATTCCATACTCCTATATAAAACCCCAATAAAAAGTGGGAGCAGGGAGTAGGAGAGGACTGAACAAAAGGAGAGAAAAAGACGACAATCAAAAGCAGAAAAGAGAAAAGTTTTCAACTATCACATGCACATAATCACACCCAGTAAAATATAATAGGTGAAACATGCTACAGGAGGAGGATTAACTGGAACTATTTCTGTGAAAAAACGAAATTGTGCAGTGCTAGAATAGGATTCTATGAATTGCATGAAACTTAAATAAAATAATACAGCATTTAGAAACTGTGGAATTTTAAAAAATAAATACATTTGTTTTGACAAATCTTTTTGTTTCCCCTAGGGACTGCACGAAAGGAATTACCTGGGGTGAAGGACTATGAAGTGGTATATCCACAAAAACTACACACGTTACATAAAAGAGATGTAGCAGGAAACCAAAATCCCAACAATGGGGTAATAAAGGAGGCATTTTTTTATTTGTTTGCATGGGAATGGGATAGTTTTGTCTTGGATCAGAGTGTACTTAACTTTCAAGACAAGTTAGATCCAGACATCAGATCATACTATTGAATCCATTCTCCTGCAAGGGCAGGCCATGATAGTCTCACAGTAAAAGTAGGTGGCAAAGTCTAAATGTGATTGGTGAGTCTCCTCCTAGTTCATGACCATACATTTATTCACAGTGTAAACCAACTCATTAGTTGGCATTAGTGGCACTTTTTGCTCAAAAGTAGAGCTCGGTGGATAGTGGAAAACAGTAGAACAGAAGCACCTAGCATTTCAGGGTGTTGAGTTTTAGATCCAAAGTATGCAGCACAGCCACACCCTCAAATCTACCTTTGGGTGGAGGTGGAACAAATTAGAGGGTTCAGGACAGAGTTCTACTCCTAGCTCTGCTACCAACCTGCTGGGGGATGTTGAGTAAGTCACTTAACTTCTCTTGGTCTCTCTTTCTCCATCTGTCAAATGGGGCAGTGAGACTTGCTGTACTTTATAAAGTACTTGGAGATCTATGGATAAAAGCCCCAACAAAGGAGAGCATAAGCACATGCTTAACTTTAAGCACTTTAATAATTATTACTATTATTGAGATAGTGCCTAGTGATCCACCAAGTGCCTATTGTGTTAGGCACTGCATAAACTGAGTAGTAGATAGTCCCTGCCCTGAAAAGTTTACAATCTAAATAGGCAAGACAGATAAAGGGTACGGGAAAGGGATATAACATACCACTGAGTTCAACTAAGACAATTCAAATGCTTAAAGTTAAGATCATGCTTAGGTGCTTGGATTAATAGGGATTGGATTATTCACATGCTTAAAGTTAAGCATGTGCTTGAGTGCTTTCCAGAATTGGGTCTTAAGCGAAGTAGAGTCTCTTATGGAAGTAAGCAGAGCTGTACATATACCTTTGAGAGCAGACTTTAGATTTTAAAGTTCAATTTATTGAAGTCATTTAAAATGCTTAGTCTAGAACTGCCAGCGGGTTTACTGTCGTGGCAGAGTTGGTGTTGGCATCTCAAGACCAGTAAATTCACAGTGAGGTTGGTGCTTATTGCTATCGACATTATGACACTCAAATATTTGCAGGCAAGATATGACGATAGGATGCAATATGAAATTAAAGTCAACGGCGAGAAAGTGATACTTCATCTAGAAAAAATAAGTAAGTTCAATTTCTTTTCTTATAACATTATCACTCTCTATCACCCAGGTCACTGGAAAGAGGTACTATACAGCACTGAGGATACAGTTTCTAAAAGCAAATGGGACTTAGGATCCTAAGAGATGGGTGTATTTGAAATTTTAACTCTCAGATATCATAGTGATGGCAGCAGAATAAGAGCCTTAATAGAATAGAATAGAATCAGTGGCACTATAGCAGAGCCTGGCTAGCATGACAAAACTCCAAAACAGATATATGACATTTGTTGTGATTGTAACGACATTCCTGCCGCTTTGATTCCTGTTTGCAGGTACTTAGGCTCTCTCAGAATGAAAAATATTATAATAGTAATAATAAGAAGTCGTCCTGACATTTTACAAATGATCAGACTTCTAAATCTTACTGGGTTCTGAATTAATATTGCAAAATAAGAAACACATCCTGGCCTTAGAAGCTTAGTCTATACATATAGTATATGCAAGGTACATAGAGAAGAGGCTATAATACAAAACAGAGAATATCAGAACACTATCGGATCATACAGAGCAAACATGAAATAACGTGTAATTGTTATTTTGCACTGGCTGGGTGTGTCTTTTGAATTTTTTATGTTTGATGTTGTGTCAATTTAGGTCCGTTTTAAGTGGCGTGTTTTTAAAGATTGTGTAAATATGCCTTAAAGTGGCAATCGGTTTATATTAAATGTATCAGAAATAGAAATAGAAACAGAAACAATAAATAAATGTTAGTCCCTGCTTTAATCTAATCAAACTATTTGAAGGGAGCAGAGGAAGAGGAATTGGGAAGCCTTTTTGTGTTAGCTTCCTTTCTTTAAAAAGATGGTGATCCGTCGAAATTGCTCATAGAGGTTTGGAACATTAGTACTAGCTGAAGTGAATTGGGCCCCAATTCACGACTGACTTCTGTGGGACTGCTCTGGTTACTTTAAATTAAGCATCTGTTTCAGTGCTTTTGTGGACTGGGACCAGAGTGCTCAGAAACTTGCAAGATTGAGTCATTGGTGATCAGTGTGCATGCAAGCAAGTCAGAATGCAAAATGAATGCAGTGTATTCAGTGGTTGCTGAATTAAAAAATGTATTCCAGGGATATCATGTCCACATAGAATCACAGAATATCAGAGTTGGAAGGGACCTCAGGAGGTCATCTAGTCCAACCCCCTGCTCAAAGCAGGACCAATTAGTGTTTTCTATTTCTGTATCTACACCTATATGTATGTCTTTCTAAATGTAGCTATACTTACAGTGAAAAAAAATCAGCCTCAACTACAAACCAAGTGTGGACAATTTCATCCCCACGGGTTAAAGTTTGACAAAGTTATAAATAACTGGAAACAGAGGGTAATAATGGAAAGTATTGTTCAATCTCTATATGTGTGTGTGTCTTGTACATAGATGAGCCAGATCTTCCATTGCTCTGCATGTTAGTCAAAGTGGGTGGAAAGCACTAACACATCAGAATAGTAGCATTTCACACTCACTTTGAACTGGCACAAATGACTATCCAAGGTGTAGCCCAAGAAAGAATCAGGTCCGTGTATGTATTTAAAAATGGTATAGTCTTTTACTCTCAGGAAGTTATTTTATATTAATACAATGAATGGGCTTTGGGTTGACTTTAGAAATCTCCCTTTGTTTGGATAAGGGTTGTGAAGAGGCCTAACTGTTCAGCGGCCTTAATTCTCTAGTCTTTTGATGCTAAAAATAACAACACTATGCATGCTAGTGTTTAAAAAATGGTTTGAAGCTCATTATGTAATTACTTCTTCCCTTGATTACTCCAGCATCATTATTAGCTGGAATAACAGGCCCATTGTATTCTTTCCAGGGATCTATTTGCCAAGGACTACTCTGAAACTCATTACTCACATGAGGGTCGAGAAGTGACAACAAGCCCTCAGATCAAGGTAACATACGAAGGCTCTTCTACAAATCTGTAATCACATGGTGTTCCATGTGGGATTCACCGGCATAGTAGCAACAGCTTTAATCCACTCTTTAATGGAAGATATAGGTCCAGATCCTAAGCTTGTATAAATTGACATAGTTTCACTCGCCTTCATGAATGAGTGATTGAGGCTGTGTTTCTTGACTTCAATGGAACTGCACTGATTTACACCACTTGAGAATCCGAACCATAGCTTTCTTTATAACAAAGAAAACATTTTTCATGTCTATAGCTTATGAACACATCTCCTGACCTGCTGGAATTCCCGGAGGAAAGGGAATGGGGCCCACTGAGACTAAACATTCTATGGCTCTGTATGCATAACTTAGTTTCACAAAAGGAGCAATGTTATTCATTTAAAGAGCCTAATCTCAGTGAGATCATGAATTCAGATAAACACACCTTCACTCACACACGTACTCTGCCTCCCACCCACACAGCAGATGCATTAAAATGTATTACAGGTTATACCAGATGGCTTCCTTGGACCATGACCAATCAGTTACTCAGTTATAAGCACAAAGGCAGTCACTGTACAAGTTCTTTTTTTTTTAATTAACTGTATGTCTGTGGGTCTTGACCCACTGAACTACAAAACTCCTCTATTTTAAGCCATTGTTCATTGTATGTTTTTTTAACAATTACAATTTGAAATGCAGAAATAAATATTCTTTGTCCTGGAGAGTAACAATAGAATTTGGATGGGTAAAATCTGTGTAAGGACTTCAGGATTTCTCCTCTTAATATTACAGAGGCCATTCCTCATTGTTCTATTTATTTCTCTCACCAAATGGAAGTTTGCATTTGGTTAAAGATTATTCCAAACAAGGCATGCTGCACAGACATCTGACATGCTGTATGACTGAGGAATTCCACCTTTGCTCATACTGCTCGGTGGTTAAACGTTTTTCAGGTTTCCTTGCATCAGCATGAAGTGTACAGCAATTGTTTATTATTTTCTCTAATAATGTTCCTTTCGTCAATGATTCTTTCATTGTAAAGAAGCTGACATATCATGATGAATGGATGTTAAACCGTAATGTGAAACCCAGCATCCATGAGCAATAAAAGTAGTACATTTGTATGTGGGTTTAAATGCCATTTCACAAACCCGTATTCAAGAAAGTAGTTAGGGTAACATTTTCAAAAGTACCCAAGTGACTTAGGCATCCCATTGAACCCACGTGGCTCTATTGGAAGTTAGGTTCTTAAATCACCTGGGCTTCTTTGAAAATTTTATCCTCAAGCACATGTTCACTTTTAAGCATATTCTTAATGGCTTAGCTTCAATGGGACTTGACAAGACTTAATCATGTTAAAGTTAAGCACATAATTAAGTGCTTTCCTGCATTGGGGTCATACTGAAAGAACATAATCTGACCCCTGATTCTGCAAAGCACTTAAGCATGTGCTTAACTTTAAATACAGGGGTAATCCTAACCCTATTCCACATTTAAGCACATGCTTAACTTTGAGAACATGGGAAACACATGTTTAAAGTTAAGTACATGAAAAAGTGCTTTGCTGAATCAGGCCAACAGAAGGCAAATAAACTTGGCAGCTGTAATCCACTGGAAGATTCTTCTATGGAAGGGAAAGCCTGCGCTGGTTAGACTTGCCAAAGTTAGGGCACCTTTGTGCCAACAGACCAACAACAGAGCTGCTGTAACTAACCTGGGAATTGTCACCCTCTATTTCCATTTCAAGCAGGAGGTACCACAGGTCACAATTTCCTTTTGAAAGCATATGCAATTAAAGTGGATGGTGGAGGGGGTACCAGTCTCCTTTCTGACCAGAACACCGTAACTCAGATTTGATATAAAACAAAAACTACAATATTCAGAGAAAAATTATAATCTCCAAATGGGACATATCCGCAGATAATGTAACATGACATAATGCTACGGATGTAATTGGAGCTAAGCCAGTTCACACCAGCTGAAGATCTGGCCCAATATGACAATTTATCATTGCTTCCTAACAGGACCACTGTTTTTACGACGGTCACATCCAAAATGATAATGACTCAGAAGCAAGCATCAGTGCCTGCAGTGGTTTGAAGTAAGATTGTTGCTAATGGTCTTCATGGTGAAATGATACAAGAATGTACTTTTTAATCTACAAGGCTTTCTGTTCACTTGCTCTTTATTTACAGTCACAGTTGCAGCCAGTGCTATGAATCAGTAAGATCTCAAAAGTTTAGCTTTATAAGGGTGAAATAACCAGGGGCAGCTCCAGGCACCAGCGTAGCAAGCGTGTGCCTGGGGCGGCAAGCTGCGGGGGGCGGCCTGCCGGTCGCCGTGACCAGCAGACCTCCTGCAGGCGTGCCGCCGAAGGCCACCTGACTGCCGTGCTTGGGGTGGCAAGAAACATAGAACCACCCCTGGAAATCACTATGAGAATGGGTCTGAGTAGTTATCCTATAGATCTCCTTCTGAAGAAAACTGTTTATAAAGAAAAGGGAAAAGGATAAGAAAAAGCCAGAGGGTATCAGCAATTGTTTGGAGGGGGTGCAATGGCATATTTTCACTCTGGTTCTAATACTAGATAGGAAACTAAAGGAACGCCGATGTGCTGTAGTGGGAAGTTATGTTCATGATTCAGCAGGAGATGCTGAATCTTCTCATTCAATGCTGAACCAGTGCTTGAATATGGTATTAGGTGGAGCTGTGTTGATGGAGATCCAGTCTTTTGCACGAGACAATCAACTCAAAGATCTGTCCTTTTGTAACCATTAAAGATTCCATTGCACAATTTGAAGGGCTGGGAACATTAGTCAAACAATTTTCAAAGGAATATTTTTCCATCAGGAAATGGGGTTTCATCCACACAGAAATTTTCTGGGAAAGATTGATTTCAGCAGAATTCTCTGTCTGAATGTTTTGTTTCATGTTAACACACTGAAATGAAACCTTCTGATTTTGGAATGTGAAAACATTTTATTTTGATCACAAATGTCAAAATAAAACATTTTGACATTTCCAATTAAAATATTAAAATGAAAAGTTCTGCATAATTTTAATCTTTTCTTCTTGAATTAGGATGAACACAAACGCCAAAATATCAAATTTCCCATGGAATCAAAATTCCATTTTCTGGTCAGATCTCATCAGTATAAAAGTCATGAACAAAATTCTGTTCCACTGGCTTAATTTCAGTTTGAGTAGTTTTACTTTTCTAACCTAATTTCCCCTAGAATTTCAGTTTGTCATGGCATTTTTTACTTCCTGTTGTATATTGTATCTGAGGGCTGTTAAAATTCTACTATGTACCATTACACTGGTGTGTAGTGTGATCCTTATACTAGGGGAGAAAAGTGCTCCACAAATGTGAGTCGTCATTATTCTGATAAAATCCTATGGATTCTCAAAGATCCTCACCTTCATTCTAATCTGAAGGTTTTAAAAAAATGTTTCATAGAGGATATTTCAAGACCCATGGTCAAAGATACCTTATCCAACCCCTGAAGTTCACAGACAGCGAGGAACATGCAGTCTTTAAATATGAAAACCTGGAAGATGTTGAAGGCCCAAAAACTTGCGGCGTAACCAACACTACCTGGGAATCAGAAGATCCTATCAAAAAGTCCTCTAGATCCAGCACCAGTCTGGAAGTGAGTACCAACCTGAAGATAAACTAAATCACTAAGAACATTTCTGAGAATTAGTTTTGTGATTCTGGCATAAAGTGGTGAATTACACCATATTTTGAAAATAAATAATCAATTATTCCTACCCAGAAGGGCAATGTGAAACAGGATCTTAGATGTAGTTAGGGATTCACCATGCTATTGCTGGAATAGAGGCAATCTGTGTTTCATGTTGTCTGTGCTGGGTAACTCCACGAGAGAATTACGTGCTTGTAAAACTAAATGGGTTCTTCATTAAAGCACCTATTTATAGAGATTCTGCAACTGTGACTAGCATTCTAGCCATGTGCACACAGACTGACTCCTGGTGCCTGCTCTGAACACTTCTCTCCTGCAACCTGTGCTCCTCCCTCCAAGTTCCATGCAGGTTGCTACACTTTGTTGTTTTAATTGGGACCCACAGCTTAGAAAGGGAGGAAAATATTATCCGTTTTCAGCTAATTTAGTTTTAAATCAGTACAGATAAAATCCTAAAGTCAGCTTCCGTAACCACGGGCCTGATCCTCAGTTACAGCTCCTTTACATCAGAATCAGTCCCTATGCATGAAAAATGTGCAGTTCCATCCAAATTACACGTCAAATGGCCCAAATTTAATGTGCAAATATTGCATCTGCAAATGCACATTTTCCACATGGAAATGGCACAGTTTGCACACACATTTTTGGAGGCATTTTGAAAATGTGGCCTTGACAGGTACACATTTTTAATATGAAATCACAGATCTGAAATGTGACTCATGCTATTGAAACCTGTACACAGCTGGAGGCAACCCAATTTATCTTTCATTAGTATTGTGCAACGTTAATTAACATAGTAGCAGGCAGCTTTAAACACAAATAAAGGCAAATTCTGCCTGCAGATACAAGCATGCAATTGCCAACGGGGAATCAATGGATTGAGTTCACCCACTACAGGTTTGAATATTATTGGTCAATACGAGTTGCACATTGATCTAAGGCCAAAATTTAATTAATTTCAATTAAAAAAGAACTATGGGCTAGATTTACCAAGGTATTTAGGCTTAGTCAATGAGACTTAGGTGCCAAACAATATCAATGGAAGTTATGCACCTAACTGACTTAGGTGCTTTTGTAAATTCTACTAGGTGCCTGTCTGCATCTTTAGGCACCTAAATACCTTTGAAAATCTGACCCTGAGCTTCTCAAGTGTAAAATGGGGATGACAGCATTTCCACTCTCAGTAATTTAGAGAGAGAGAGATTATATGATTATAAAATATTCTTCTTGAATCTAAAGGGGGCAGATTGGAACAGGTCCTAACAATCTTTTGCAAAATGTTTTTCTTAGAAACAGGAATACCTGAAAGCAAAGAAGTATGTCGAAGTCTACATAGTTGTAGACAATGCTGCGGTGAGTATTCAGACAAACATTTTTCATTTTACCTTTACAACAACAACTATGGATTTAATTTTTCAAAGCACTCAGCACTGGTCTAACTGTGCTCCCATTGAGATAAATGGGAGTATTATCCTTGACTTCAGCGGCGGGCAGAGTTAAGCCAACTTTGAGCAAGGAAGATCCTGCCCTATGAAGATTTGAAATTCACAATGGACAGCCAAAGATAGATCTCGAGTAAGACTGATTGGAAAATGTTCGTCAACACATTGACATTTTTTGGATGACAATATACGTGTATGGCCTGGATCTCTGTTGCCCTGCAACTAGTGTGAGAGCCTAACCCACATGCCATCCCCAGTTGCACCACATAAGAGCACTACAGTGGAATGAAGAAGACCTAAAATCCCCAGTTCTAGCTATGGGAGGATTCCCCTAGAGCAGGCACTGAGGGAGGCACTGAGTGTAAGTCTGTCCTCTGAAGATCCTTCTTAAGCCCTAGCTTATGGGGCGTGCTGGGGCAGGGGCTGCAGAATCCCAGGCAAGGCTGCCATAACTGATACAGACCCCCAGGGCTATCTATATTATATCAGGCGTCCTGGAGCAGGCAGGACCCGAAGGTGACTTAGCCACCATAGTCTTCTCCGTCCCCCCGGGCTGCAGGTTCTGTGCTGTGCCTTTAAGAGGCACAGGACAGGATATCATATGAGCTAGCTGGTAGTAGTAGGAGGCTGTCACCCTCAATGTGGACCAGCCACATGACACACTTTGACCCTGATCCCACAAGCTGCTCCACACAAGCAAATCACTGTGCCCAGGTGGAACCCCCAACTATCTCAGTGCAGGGGCAGCTCTATGTATTTTGCCGCCCCAAGCACAGCAGTCAGGCAGCCTTCAGTGGCATGCCTGCGGGAGGTCCACTGGTAACGCGGATTCGGCGACATGCCTGCGGGAGGTCTGCCAGTCTCGCACCTTCGGCGTACCCGCTGCCGAATTGCCGCCAAAACCGCGGGACCGGCAGACCTCCCACAGTCATACCGCCGAAGGCTGCCTGACTGCTGCCCTCGCAGGGACTGGCAGGCCGCCCCCCGCAGCTTGCCGCCCCAGGCACACGCTTGGTGCGCTGGTACCTGGAGCCGCCCCTGCCTCAGTGGGACTCTGTGGAAGCACAGGGGTCCACATGTGCAGAATAGTGTGTAGGATCAGCTCATTAGCCTGTGTGATCCTGACCACCATCTCGTCCCCAATACCTTTAACAAGTATTTTCAGCAGCATTTCAAAGATTTGGGGCCCACCTGAGCAGAGGGAATATGGAGAGGAGCAGAGAGAGTTATGGCCACCAAAAGTATTTATGGGCCAGGAGAGGTTTGCAAATAAAGAAGGAGATTTTGAATACGAGAGAATCGTAGCTGATCAGTTACACAACCTGCTTTGTAGGTAAAATATGGATATTATAAAAAGGCCCTGATCCTGCAAACAAATACGTGCTAAACTTCAAGCACAAGAGTAGTCTCGATTGCAACCAATGGGCTTAAAGTTAAGCAACCTGTGTTTGCAGGATCAGGTCCACAGCTGATAATATTTCTGATAGACACTTTCATGCTTACTGATTCATGCTCCTCTCATCTCCTCACATTCATGCTCCTCTCATCCACTGGACCCAACACTCGGAAGCTACATCACGGATGAATGTGTTTCCATTAACTAAAACAGCGCAGTACCAGGAAAGGCGAATCATCTTGGCATGAAAAATAATGAACAAAAACTAGAACAATTTTTTTTCCAAATCGTCGTTTCTTCTTTTTTCCCCCCCAATCAGCATATTTTCTAAGAACATTACTATATTTGGTGTTGTGAAAGTATGACACTTCCATCATATGTCCCAGTTTTCAGGGGGAAGTTTACTCAGCCTTAAATATTTGCCAAAGGCAGAAACTTGACATCAGTCCAGGAGCAATCTCTTTTAAACTAATTTTCATAAAACCTGCTATTACGTTTTTTTTTTTTTTAGATTCTAAGGGCCTCACTCTCATTTGTACTAAGGCCCCTTTCCACCCCAGTGGAAAGGGGCCTTAGAGTGAGTGGAACTTTACTTTACACCTAGTCTAAGGCTCCTTATTCTGCCAGAACAGTGTAAAGGGGCTTTAATGTAAACCAGACCCTAAAAAGACAGGAAGAAACTCAGATCTGTATGAGTTGAAGCTACTTTGTCACCTTTGTACAGCATCCTCTAACACTCTACAAATCTGATTCTTCCTCACTTGCACTTGTGTCAATCAGAATTAAACCAACTGAAATCAGTGGTGAAAAGTGGATTTCGGTTGTGATCAGAATCAGGCCTGGGGTGTATACCTTCTATTTTAGCACACAAAACACTACCAGATGTAAAGCCCAATCCAAAGCCAATTGAAATCAAGGAAAGTCTTTCCACTGACTTTAATGGGCTTTGGATCAAGCCCTTTGTGTTTATTATGAGGACTAATGCCAATGATTTCATATTAATAAACACTTATGGTAATGCTACACCTGATAATAAGTGTTTGCAGGCCCCTTAGGGTAAGCCCACCAGACCTCCTAGGCTTGAGAGCCTAAGCCGCAGTCCAAACCACGAAGTTCACACTGATATTTAGCTTAAACTCCACTAGCACAATTCTGTCTGCCTGGGCTGGGAGACTCGCTCCCAGCTGCAGTGTAGACGTACCATTAGATATTTACAGGTGCTGGTCATCCTAGTCTCTAGGCACTGTGCATTAAAAATAATAGGTCAGATCCATAGCTGGTGTAACTCAGCATTGATTTCAATGGCACTATGCTGATTTACATCAGCTAAAGACCAGGCTTAATATCTAGAACGGCTGTTATTTGACAAAGAAAAACAAGAATGAGGGACAGGATTTGGGGCCTAGTCCCTGAGCCTTAAATTCTCAACCTACACTATTGTGATTACAGTACAGTAGGTGTTGCGGGCTGCAGTACCTATAGTGCTGCGTGTAGTTGTATGTAGAAAAGAGACAAATAAGGGGGAATATGATTGAGGTCTACAAAATCATGAATGGTGCAAAAAAAGTGAATGGAGAAGTGCTGTTTACTCTTTCACATGATACAAAAACTAGGGGTCACCTGATTAAATGAATAGGCAGCAGGTTTAATAAAACCGAGAGGAAGTATTTTTTCCACAAAATGAACTAGGGTGACCAGACAGCAAGTGTGAAAAATCGGGACGGGGGTGGGGAGTAATAGGAGCCTATATAAGAAAAAGCCCCCAAAATTGGGACTGTCCCTATAAAATCGGGACATCTGATCACCCTAAAATGAACATTTACCCTGTGGAACTCGCTGCCATGGAATATTGTGATGGCCAAAAGTATAACTGGATTCAACAAAGAACTGGATAAGTTCATGGAAGATGGGTCCATCAATGGCTATTAGCCAAGATGGTCAGAGACGCTAGGCTCAGAGTGACCCTAAACCTCTGACTGCCAGAAGCTGGGAGTTGAAGACAGGGGTGGATCACTTCATAATTGCCCTGTTTTGTACACTCCCACTGAAGCTCTGCTACAGACCACTGTTGGAGACAGGGTCCTGGACATAGGGTGACCAGATAGCAAGTGTGAAAAATCGGGACGGGGGTGGGGGGTAATAGGAGCAGAAAAAGACCCAAAAATCAGACTGTCCCTATAAAATCGGGACATCTGGTCACCCCACCTGGACAAGATGAACCATGGTCTGACTCAGTATGGCAACTCTTATGTTCTTAACATCACCATCTGCTCTCAACAACTAAGGGGTGAAATTCACGGCTGTGCAGACAGGCAATACAAGGCCTATGCACCACTGAAGTCTCACTTAAATGCACAAAATAGACCATAAGAGGGGGGACTTCAGTAGGCCTTGTGCTCTCCCTCTGCAAGGGCTGAATATCATACAATGTGAGGGATTTGAAATATACAATATGATACGAATAGGAGATAAATAGTAAACTGAGATCAGTTGCTATACTAATACCTTCATTTCACTTTAACAAAGACCACTAATTTGTGGTGCAGTTTTATTTGAAATGTTTCAGGTCTTTTTTCCCCAATCATTGTTTTATTTTTTCCCCTTATCCTGTTACTGATGCTTTCATATTTATTTTTGCAGTATAGGAAGTACAACCGCAACATGACGAGTATAAGAACACGGGTTTTTGAAATAATCAATTACATCAACATGGTAAGCTGTGTTATTATTAAGTAAAAATGCTACAGAATTGATTAAGTTTTGCAATCTCGGGAGTTTTCTGTAATTACACCTAGAAAAGAATGAAGAAAATCAGATCTGCTGGCATTTATGAAAGTGAATAAAGCAGAAATAAAGGATCAGATGGAAAAAATGAAAGGAGAATCTGTGCCTTCACATCTATAAAAGCAACAGAACCATGATATCAAACTAATGAATTTTTTCTCATAGTCCACAATGATTTGGCTGAAAACAACTGTCGACACTGGATCTGATTCTTTACTGCTCCATGCCTTGCACATTTTATTCACAGCAGTGAAAAGGGGGTATGAAACGCTGCCAAATCAACATAGTGGCTTACACCATCTTTGCACTCAAGCAACTTACTACACGAGGTCAAGCCAGTGGCAATCCATGCTCATGTAAAAGGCCAAATTATAATAAATGCTACAAAGGTCTTTTTTTTTTAAATAAAAGACCAGCTCCTCACAAAACCTTTCAATTTCCATCAAATTTTCAAAGAAAATTCTTCCTTAAGAGGAAACTCTATGCCAAGTTTCTTACAGACTGCATTTTTATATAGTTAGGCTCCAATCCTCCAAATGCTTATGCATGTGCTTAACTTTAAGCATATGATAAATCGATCTCATTCAACTCCATGTGCCTGATGCTCATTTACATTAATGCCCCATGTATTATACTGCTCTTAGAGGAGCCTTACTAGCACAGCAGCTAGAGATCTAGTCCCGAGTGAATGCCACATGTCCATAATATCCCCTGCTGTATGTTCAGAAGTGAGGGAGAAAGAATTACATACCTAAATCAAATATTTTAAGGAAGGGTTTATGGCATCAGTGTCTTAGCAATTGTTACAAAGAACTGATTAGAGTTCATTAAAAAGAAGGTGTGAAAAATTTCCACATTTTTTCCTCTCTTAAGTTTGTAATTTCTTTAAATATGCTGCTGCAATTCCAAAATGGGACTTATTTTGACAGTTTCTTCAGTTGGTCCAAAAAATTGGGGAGGGGGGAAGGAAGGGGGAAGAGGCGGAATTAAGAAAAATCATATTTTTTCTGTTTTTTTTTAAGTTTCAAAACTTCATTGGAATTTCAGAATTCAGAAAAGTTCATCTAGTTTTAGAAATGACCAAATGTTATTAGAATAAGTCCCTGCTGTCCGAAAAAATTAGAAGTTACTTAGGGTATGTCTACACTACCGGCCGGATCGGTGGGCAGCGATCGATCCAGCGGGGATCGATTTATCGCATCTAGTCTAGACGCGATAAATCGACCCCCGAGCCCTCTCCCGTCGACTCTTGTACTCCAGCACCATGAGAGGCGCAAGCAGAGTCGACGGGGGAGTGGCAGCAGTCAACTCACTGCGGTGAAGACACCACGGTAAGTCGATCTAAGTACGTAGACTTCAGCTACGTTATTCACTTACTTCTTCTGTCCATGATCTCTCCTTACTGCAGGTTTATAAAGCCATAAACATTCACGTGGCTTTGATTGGTCTAGAAATCTGGTCAGCTGGGGATCCATTCACTGTGAATTCTTCAGCCGGCACCACCTTGGACAAATTCTCAACATGGCGTCAAACCAACCTGCTGAAACGGAAGAATAATGACAATGCTCAGTTACTCACGTACGTATCATGTCCTTTTCCACTTCTATTTCTAAATATGCCAGAAGAATTTGTACCCAGAAACTTGTTTACAAAGATAACCAGAGATGCAGTCTATAAGGGTCCTAGTTTTGTCATTTCAAACAGTGAGTTGTAATATTCACAAATTGATGGGGTGAAGCCCTGTCCCCGTTGAAGTCAACAGGAGTTTTGCCACTGACTTCAACGGGGCTAGCATTTCACCTATAGGTTTTTAAGGACAAAAGAGATTGTTATGTTCATCTAGTCTGAGCTCCGGCAAAACAGGAATACTATAAAATGTGGTACCATGCAAAGTGTTGGTATAAATGCAAATAAAATGAATGAATAGAGATGGACCTAAGCACCCATGCATTTTGGAGGGGGGAAGTTTAATATCCAAATGAGGAGCTGGATATGAATTTTGCAGCTGGCTATCTAGCTATCTGGGCCTGAAATACAGAGCTCAGACCCAGATTCTGATCTGAATCCAAACTTTGGAGAGGTGCCCAATTCACTATTCTGGCATGAGCCCACTGGGCCTGGTTTACCAAAGCACATGTTTACATTTAAGCATGTGCTAATGTCCCATTGATATCAGTGGAACTTAAGCACATACTTGGCATTAAAAATGTACTTAAGTGGTTTGCTGAATCAGGATAAATTTAATCAAATATTTAAATGCTTTGATAAATCTAGTCTTGCAGAAAAGGGGTGAAATCACTCACACACTTAAAACTGAAACTGTGCTTAAGTGCTTTGCTGAACTGGATATATCTGAGCTGCAAAGTTGGAATTCAGATTCAAAATTCAGGATTATTCAGCTGCAGTGTCGTATTTGTGACCCTCAGGGAGAGAGTCAAGGGCACAAATGACAGATAAGTGCCTAAATCCCACTGAAGGCCAATGAGAGTCAGGCTCCTAAGTATTTGTGCCCTTGAAAATCTCTCCCCATCACACTGGTTCTGACTAAGGGGACCGTGCCTAAGGGAACTTCCAGTTCAATCAACAAAACCACCAGCAACGTCATCAGATTTGCATCTTTGTGACAGATCGCTGGGCTTCACGCTGTGTGTTTTTGCTTCCTTACAGAGCGATTGACTTTGATGGGCCAACAGTAGGCCTGGCCTTTGTGGGAACCATGTGCAGTTCTACTCATTCCTCAGGCATTGTTCAGGTCTGGTTGGTTTTTTGGGTAACATTTAACCAGCAGGCAAACGTCACTGGAATGGCATTATTTGGGGTACATTTCATTGCTGCATCAGGCTGAAGAGCGTACAGAGTTGTTTATTTATAAACTAATATAAGAGAGAGCAGAACCATATACCGTGATTTAAAAGAAAGGGATAAACGATGGAATCAGTTTTGACCAGGATGCCCCAAATCACAACACTGAGCATCTTAAATTAGAGATGGATGAACTGGTTTGGAAAAAAAAAACTACTAGATATGGGCCTAAACCAGAACATTAGATGCAAAACCTCTCCCTGAAAGCAGGGGAAGTTCACCTCTGGACCCAAAGTTCACTGACTGAGCCAAATGCTTTAAAGGACCGAGCCAAATCTCTAAAACCAAATACCCCCTGATTTTTAAAGCAGTTGAGATTTGGATGTGAAACCAGACAGAACACACTTTAGAACACACAGGGGTCAAGAGGTAGCAACATGTACTGCAGTGTCTGATGGGGATTTTGGAATAATGCAGCACACCTTGACTTTTATGCCATTCTATTATCAAACTGCTTATTTATTTAGATTTCCACGCAAAAGCAACTCCTTACCAAAGAGATAGCCAGCCAGAGTTCCGGGAGCCCTTGGCATATATTTAAAAGCACACAACCACAAGAGATATAAAAAACATGAATCACCCCTAGCAAGAGTCGTTCTCTTTACCCCTTATCACTTCTCCCTACCACACATCATTTAATAACATGTAAACGTATTACAGTGTTAGATGTGATAGACAGAGGGAGAGGGGCCGGGATTTTCAAAGAAGTTTAAGGGATTTAAGTGCCTAATTCCTATTACAATTCAATAAAAAATGTCCGCCTATCTCTCTTGGGCCTGGTATACACTAAGAATATACTTAGGTCAGTTGGGGGTGTGATTTTTTCCCCTGATATAGGTATTCCAGTGTAAACCCTAGTCTGAATACAGGTATATTGGTATAAAGATGCCATGTTTTGCTATAGTTTGTTTCACTTCCTGATCCAGAATAAGCTATCCTGGCATAAGCACTTGTATACCAGTTTAACTGCATCCACACTGAAGGGAGGCAAAGAGTTTTACTGCTTTAACTGTACTGGTATAGTTTCTAGTCTTAAGACTCTTTTGAAAATTCCAGTCTAGAAAGACAGATGGAGAGAGAATTTTGAGCTAAATAATTTTGTTGCTTTCTAATTAAGATGCAATTATTAAACAATTAAAAAAAATCCCTTTCCAGGTTTATACAAAGTAAAATAGCCAGTTCTTCTGCATTTGGGGATATTTATTTTAGGATTCCGATTTCTTAGCCATGTCATTTCTCTTATGCTGTGCTCTGTTCAATATCGGCTTGCAGGCTTATAGAAATAACTGACAGTTCTATTGTTCCCATCACCTCAGGACCATAATTCCAATTCAATTTCAATTGGAGCCACCATGGCACACGAGATGGGGCATAATTTTGGCATGAATCATGACACTAGCTTCTGCAAATGCAATTCTGGATCTTGTATCATGGCAGCACAACTCAGGTGAGGCATTTGCATCTGCAATAAGGGAACGACAAAGCCTATGAGTGCTTTAAAATACAGCTGGGCCCGATCCAAGGCCCACTGATGTCAATGGGAGTCTTTCCATTCGCTTCATTTTGGATAAGGCTCAGAGTGTACTGTTGAAATGGATCTGTCAACTCTGCCACAAACACTTACAATAACTATACCGTGTGAAACGATGCGCCCAGAAAGCATGACTCTTCATGTGTTTGTGGTGAGACAGAACTTACCCAGTCTTTGCATATCCTGTTTCAGATCCTGAAAATCTTGCTTGTAACTTAAGTGGATTTCTCTTATAGAGAGACCTGCCCTAGGTACCTGCCTCTCCAATAAGCAGCCAATTGAAAGCATCCCTGAGGTTTCCAGTACAATTTTATGTAACCCACTTCTCCTAGACATCAATATTCACAGTTCCCACAGAGGCTTGCTTAAGATTAACTTCCCTTTATACTCGTGATGATGGTTCACTTCCTTTTGTTTGTGTTTAGCTGCAGAATTGCTCTTTTCTCAGCATTTAGTTAATGTGGGTTTGCCGCACTTCTGTCAGTGATCCCATCTATACTCAACTCATCCAGGGCCCACTGACGTCGGCATAAAGACTCCCATTGATGTAGACGGGCTTTGAATCAGATCCCAGCTGATTACAATTTGTGTAGATCAAGCTTGACTCCTCTAGAAATGTGGCTTTTCATTCTGTGTACGCCTCCCACTCTCTCTCTTCAATTGTTTCACCAGTGTTTCTCTTACAACCACACGTCCTTTATTCTCTCCCCTTTTGTTATGTTATTTTTCTCCTCCTTTTTCATGTCTGAAGCATGGGTGGTTGAGGCAATATATTTTTGGTTAAAAAAAGAAAAAAAATCCTGCCACTTTAGTCCATGTGCCAAAACTCCAGTAAGAGAGGAGGAGAACTTCCTGAGGTCAAACTATTCAACACTGATTTGAGACTTTAAGATGTTGGTGGTTGAGACATAGAGATCCCCGATTAATCTTGCTGCCACAGGACCATAGTAGGGAAAACTGGGTACTTCAGGTGCCAGAAGTAACCACTGTATCACATTGGTCTTATAGAGCTAGGAATTTATGATCTAAGATGATGATCTCTCCATGTTGGCAGTATCTCCAAAAAAAAAAAAATTTGTTTTTGTTTTTTACTTTTTCACCCCAGCAAAAATATTTGTAAACGCCCAGAAATTAAATTAAATGTTTCAGGTTTTTAAGAGTATTTGGGGAAACTACTGTATTTGATTAATTGGGACGAGGGCATTCATTTCATTCATATCCTATACCCTCTGTGTGTGTTGTTGTGTAATTAGTTGTCACTGAAATCATGTTGATTCATCTATGCAGCTACAACATCCCCAAGGATTTTACTGCATGCAGCCTCCAGGATTTTCAGAAATACATTTTGGACCGAACACCAGTATGCATTACCAATATGCCTGCACTGAAAGACATAGTAGCACCCTCTGTTTGTGGGAACAACTTTGTAGAGAAAGGAGAAGAATGTGACTGTGGAACTCCAGAGGTACCTATGAATAGTTGTGAAAAAATAATATTTATCGAGAGGTAGAAACCCTAGAGAAGCTTCTGGCTCTTTGAACGTAGCCTTGTTTTTTAAGTCTACCTCACTCTTCTACAAGTAACCCCTGATTGTCCAGAGGTCTTGGGAGAAATCTGAAACTTTCTGCTACTTGAGGGTGCAGAAAACTCCAAGCTGCAGAGAAGGTGCCAGATTCTCTATTGCTCTGCCCTTTGTGTAGCCATTTAGCCCAGTGCAACAAGGTTATGAAATGCTACTACTCTGCTTCATACCTTCCAACGTCCCAGGTTTCATGGGGCTGTTCCATTTTAACTCACAAATACCCCTGTTCCCAGTTAAAGTGACTCTGGGCTTGGCTTCCCATTCTGGGCTGCAAGCATTATGACCTGCTCCCCGTCCCCCTTCTCCTCCCTGGCAGCCTCTCCCCTCCCTACTCTCCCATTCTCTCCTCACTCCCAGCTTTGCCCCTTCACTGGCCTTTCACAACCCCTCCCTTCCATAAACCAGGCATGTGCTCAGACCACTGGAGCCAAGCCCAGCCAGCCCTGCAGGACAGGAACTGCAGGTGCTGCCAGTGCTGAGTGAGTGCAGGATGGACTTGCAGCTCCCCCGTTCCGCCCCCATCGTCCCCCGCACCAGTATCCCACCTCTGGGGGCAGGACCTGTCCCACTTTAGCCACTGGCAGTGTTGGGAGGTGTGCTGATTTGGTAGCATTTTCCATCCACTTCGCAATTACCCCAACATTAAGGCTCCTTTACACAGTAGTGTAATTGAAAATGAGGCCCTTTGTCTTCAACCCTGAGAAGCAGAGGAACTCTGCAGGAGGGAAGGTTACCAGTCTTGCAAAGGGGGAGCTTCAGTCAGTGCTGCCTTAGGGAGCTCAGAATGCACCTTAAATTAACCCTAATCTTCAATTAAGCCAGCATTACAGCTTGTTGGGTTTTACGTGCTTCTGAAGTATAGCTGGAAGAATCAAGGCCGACCCAAATGAAAGAATTTTCTTGCTCGCTTCCAGAATGAACTTCTGCCAGAATATGCTTCAGTAGCATTTTTCCATGGAATATCCATTCAAATGCCACAAGACACACAGTACAGTCATTAGGGCCACAAAAACAGCTATGTGGAAACATATTTCTAAGAACACCGCGTTTCCAGCTGATTGTCAAGGCAGAATGTGTGTGTTGGGGGACAGCAGAAAGCTGAGTGGTGAGGCGGAGCTGAATTGTAAGCTGATTCAGTTACAATAAGGAAGAGCTGTATGTGATCTGTGCCTAAGAAGAAAAAAAAAAATCAGCCGTTCCCTGCACCACTTGATTCTGGAGTTTTATAATCAAGCATGCTTCGTTGTCACGCACAATCGTCCTAAAGAATGATTAGTATCAGTTTGCTTTGCCGTAAAGCCATTTTAGATACGTGTTGTACAAATGCGTCTCGATCTCTCTTTAAGCGAAGTACAGGCTGTCCTATCAGAAATGTGCTACTGGGAAAAAAAAACAAAATACAGAGCACTGTACCGTGCCCATAACTTTCTCTGTTATTGTTTCACAGGAATGCACAAATAACTGCTGTGAAGCTGCAACGTGCAAGCTGAAGCCGAATGTCAAATGTGCATTTGGAGAGTGCTGTGAAAACTGCCAAGTGAGACCCCTTTTGCTCTCAGCTATTTCTTCACATTTTGGTGGTGTTTTTGCGCAAAGCCAGAGGACCCCTTTAAAATGGAACAATGGCTATTATTTATCATTGATGCAGCATTGTAACAATAATCATACTTTGCACTTCTCAAGCACCTTCCACGGGGAGTACCTCAAAGCGCTCCACTGATATTGATTAATTCAACCTGATGTTAATTAACTTAACCTCCCAACATTCCTGTTTGCCTCATCTCTCCAGATAGGTAAACTGATGCATGGAGCACCAGATTCTCAGCTAGTATAAACTGACATAGCTCCATTGAAGTCAGTGGAACCACCCTAGTTTACACCTGCTGAGGCTTTGGCCCAGAAAGTTTATGTAATTCATGCAGTGTGGCTGTGGAAGAGAAGGGAATAAGATCCACATCTGACTCTCATGCTTGTCCCTTAACCACAAGATCATCTATTTCCCTTATATCCTTCCTACTAAGTCATGGGTGGCAATGGTATGTTAAGGACAACTAAATAATCACAGGGCTCTTCTCCAAAGAGCTTGCAGTCTAACTTAGCCATAACACAGCCAGGAGTGCTTAGAAAAGGTGTGTAGGGGAGAGCATAGGAGGTACACAATGCATCATTGCCACTCCGGCAAGCCCCATGGCTGTCCCTGTGTGATATGCCGAGTACCTTTTGCTATAAACCGCAAAGTAGTTTATTTGCATTATTATTAACACCCATTGTGCTGGGTTTGCCACATCTCTGATTCTCATAGTATGATGTAGCTTATTTTTTTCCAGCCTTCTTTAAAACGGCGGTTGCTGCTTAACCCGGGATATCTCTGAACCTCATTGGAAATAACAGTAGCCAGCAAATAACTGATCTGCACCAAAGCTAAAGTAATCCTCTCCCTGGAAATTATATTAGGTGTTTCAGAGCAATGGCACATGACTCTTAAAGATCACTTGCTAGAAGCATTTTATAGCTAGCACCAGTGAGTTTATAGGATGCCTGCCAATGTCATTGATTAGCAGGCTCCATGAAAGGGCCCAATGATGCAGTCGTTATATATATATGCACAAGTCCCACTGATTTCTCTGGGAATTGGAAGTTCTACTAGTTTCAATGAGAGAGGGAGGCATGCATGGAAGGACTGCACAATTGGTTCCAGGTGGCCTGGTTTTCAGATACACCAAACTCACCCTTTGCGCTTAATGGGTAACATGGGTGTTCAGACCATGAGAGACTTTTAAGTCCTGTCCAACCCTGGGGTAAGTCCATTGCTGGGTATTTTAAATGACTTGGGGGAATGGCATGCCTAAGACCACTGCGCTCTCTCTCTGCTACAGCTTAAAAGAGCAGGGACTCTTTGCCGACCTATAAAGCATGACTGTGACCTGCCCGAGCTGTGTACTGGCCGGTCCCACGAGTGCCCAGTGGATCGATTCAGAGTCAATGGATACCCTTGCAGAGATGGCCAGGGTTATTGTTACATGGGGAAATGCCCCACCCTGCTGAGCCAATGCATTGCTCTTTGGGGATCAGGTGAGTGGATGCTGTCATTAAATTAATCAGATTGTTTAAGGTGAGGGGGGTAGTTTAGGACAGATGTGTGACAATTTGTCAAGTACATTTTGAGAATGGGAGCCAATACGTCAATATAATTGTGCTATGAAGTTATGCAGGTGTAGTCCTAGAGTCTTAACATTCCACCTGTTGTGGAGGGGGCTGTATTTACAGCCCTGTATTTACTTTGTCAGCCTGGTTTATCATCAGGATTAACTGGTTTTTGCAAGTATTCAATTACCACTTTCCCAGCATGGCAAAACATGTGTATAAGGCATGAAGGGGCTGGGTAGTTTTAAGCCTTTCTTCCATTGGAGAACCTGGTTAATCTCCTTTTCTCATAGTCACATTCATTTAGAAAACAAAGCCCACAGAAGCTTTTTGGAAATCTATTAATACTTCCTTAAAAAAAGGGAGAGAGAGTGCAGTGAAATTAACTTCCCTTTTCTGTCTTAATGCCTCAGCGCAGATTTGTTGGTACTGAGGTTCCTTGAGTGCTTGTGTGTACAAGCCACGGAGTTTTTCTTGCACCCTATTGGTAGGTCAAATGGTTGATGGTGGCCGGGCTTCAGACTCCCGGGGTGTGAACTGCAGTGTTTATTAGCATGCACTAGTGTGCTGTACTGTAACTGCCCCATGTGGACACTTCCAGCGTGAACTAAAAGGTCCAGGATCACGAACTAGGTATCTTTTTGTTTGTGCCAACGGTGTCGACGCAGGAGAGCTATAGCACCGTATTGTAGTCCAAACTGTGGGGCTATGTAGATAAGTACCAAAGGCAACCTCAATGCGGAGTAAGTATGTCCACACAGGGAATTAGTGCAGAGTAGCTACTGGGCTTTAAATTCACACCCTAGCTCACTCCCCACTAACTTTTCTTTGTAGAGAAACCCTCAGTATTTGCAGCTGGTTTATCACACACCTCCCCTCCTCCCCCCAAAAAGGAGGAAGAAAGCTTTAAAGATTTCATTCCGTTGGGGTTTTTTTGATTGTTGTGTCGTGTGTGCTTAATCTAGTATTTTTACACCGCCATTGCATCAGATGATCCCTACCAGTTTCATAAGCTCAGTGCCCCATTTCAGACACTTTTTAATATGCGTTTCTGGGGAAAGAGGAAGTTGGAAAACAATTCCTCTTTTGCACAACATTGGAAAAAAGGTAGCCAGGGACTGAGTGGGGAATTATTTACATGATAAATTGAAGAAATCTCTCTGTTTTCACACTGATGTGATGATGATGATCATGCTCCCTTTTTACTTAATAATCAAAAAATTGTTTTTGTGGCACTACAGGGCAGGGAGAGCAAACAAGATGCCATTCTCCCTTGCTTGTTATCAACAAATTCTAAACTAGGTTCCAACTGCATCATTACTGATGATGTTTTAGAAGACAAAGAACTCAAATTAATCTTTAGATCATAAGCATATTGTGCTTGTTGTCTTAAAACCCAGCCCTCAGAAGTGTCAGCTGCTCTTCACTGGGTATTATTAATTTCATCACACTTAGCAACTCCAATGTGCAGGGCACTGGGCTAACACACAGTAAGAGAGAGTCCCGGTTCCAAAGAGCTTATAGTCAAAATAGGCAATGCAAACCCAGGGGCAGCAGAGGTACAGAGAGTGGTAGGGACATGGCCAAGGCCACACAGCAGGTCAGTGGCAAGCTGGGAATAGACCTAAGGCCTCCTGACTTACACTCCAGTGCCCTATTCACTGGACCATGCCCACCTCACAGTTTCAGGCACTAAAGGCTTATCTGCAAACGTTGCCCTCATTTACAGCCATGCACCCCCGCATTTATATAGGTTTACATGGGACCGGATCCTCAGCTATGTGCAAGGAACAGACAGTGCAGGTTGGGGGTGAGGCAGAGAACAGAGGGGCGAAGGTTTGCATAAAGCTCACCTTTGCCCGCCCCTAAACTTGGTCAACTAGCCTGGTCCTCCAGCGTAATCTAGAGCCACCTGAAGTTACACCATGGGCCTCAAGGAGTCAAAATGAAAAGCTGGGGATTGGCTTGTCCCAGCCATGCCCTCTGGCCATACATACACTCACTGATCTGAATGTACTTTATCCCTCTCGTCTATTTCTTACAGAGATATGCTAGCACCTAGAACATCATGGGTGCTGCTATAGTGCAGGATTCATTTGTGTGATGTGCCACTGCAAATCCGATTAGACGTATGTGTGATGTCAACAGAATAGATCATTTCCTCAGCTGGCAATGTCAATGGAGTTCCACCACTTTTCCATCAGCAGAGGATCTGGCCCATTGCATACTGTTTTCCATGCTCTTCATAGATTGTCTGTCTTCTTTGCCTCCTTCCTAGGTGCTACAGTAGCTGTAGACTCTTGTTATAGGACTAACCAGAACGGAGTTTATTATGGACACTGCAAAAAGGGGAACGGCACATTCATCCCCTGTGCAAAAAAGTAAGCAAAAAAGTACTTACCTCATTGAAGTCTATGGGGTTCTAGGAAACAGAGGTAATTCATGTCCATATGAAGAGGCAAGAAACTAGGAGAACTCTCTTCTAACAGCTCTTCCTTTCATATTGGGGCTGGTTTGTTTTTCTCTTTTTAAGCTGGAGGTTGCAGTAAAGCAGGGCAGTTTCTGATGAAGAAAGAGAAGTACAGTTTCTAAATACAATTCTGATTCAGGTAAAGAGCACATAATAAACTAGAGTGAGATCAGTCAGAGAGAGAGAAGCTTTTGAGTAGGGAAGAATGAACCCGAAGAGAATCTGAAGTGGGTTTCAGTTAAATTAAACATTCTGTCCTGCAAAGTACTGTGAGCAGCCTCAATTCCCCATGGAAGTCAGTGAGAATTGAGCACCAGGACTTGTCTACACACAAACTGGAGCTGAAATAACATGGGTTATTATTCAAATCTTTAGTTATTTCAGTTCTAGTCTGTGTGTGGACTCAGGGATATGGCATATCCCTGAGTTTTGCTATGCTCTGACATTATTCTAGAAAATAAGCTCTTGTTTTCCTCACAGAGATATACAGTGTGGGAAGTTATTCTGTACTGGTGGTTCACAAATGCCTACAGCTGGAAACCTACTATCTTTTGACACATGTAAAGGCAGTTTTCCCAACGACAATAATGAAGACGCAGGCATGGTCGCTGCTGGAACTAAATGTGGCAATGGAATGGTTAGTGAAAGAAGTTTTTATGCCCATCATTTCTTTTCCATTTGTTTCGTTAGTTGTTTCTTGTTTATAATCACAGACACTCTTACAAGACAAAAAGGACTTTTAAAAGTCATATTCAAGGTGACTCAACTGCGTAAAGTCTGATTTTCTACTACCTCACTCTTTGTGCCATCATTTATTCCTGTACACATTAAAAGTGCTACCTTCTGATTTGGTCGCATTTTACAGTCTGCACTGGGATAAAGTTACTAATGGGACATGTGAAGTCTAAGGTGTCTAAAGCTCATAAGAATGTTACTCCCATTTATTCACACCTCTGCATTATCCAAATCCCTTCCTCATCCCAGACCCCAAAACAACTGCCTGTGTGCAAACCCCCAGTTAGCCACCCTGCCCAGCAGCTGGAATGCACACACCCCTCTCCCCCAGTGGAACCCCCTGCCCAGCCGCTGGTAAGGCTGGCTTTAGCAAGTGCGGGGCCGATTCGTGGGGCTTGTACTCACCAGGTGGCGCTCTGAGTCTTCGGCGGCACTTCGGATTGCCGCGCTCCAGCCGGGGGAAACGGGGCCGCGGGACTTGCCACGCTCTGGCCGGGAGGAACGGGGCCGCAGGACTTGTGATTACAGCAAAGTCTATACCCTGTCCAGCTGTTTCCGACTGCAAGAGAGAGCACTAAGGGCACTGGGATGAAAGGCTGCCATCTTGATTATCCCAACACCTGATTATCCAAATAAAATCTGTGGCCCCCCCAACCCAGGTTATTCAGATAAATGTGAGGATGCTGTATTGGGGTAGTTTCTCAGGGCCCTAGTCATAGACCAGAACCCCATTGTGCTAGGTGCTGTACAAACTCAGCACACGATATATAAAAGATTTAGTAACACCTCTTAGCCACAGTCAAAGCTGGTTTGGAAAACAGGGAAGGGGGATATTGATATAAACACACATTTTCCCTTTTTAGTAACCTATTCACAATTCAAAGTTTCAATGAAAAATGACATCAAAATTTCCAGTTTCATAACATTTCTACCAACCCTAGGTACAATAAAATAACGCTTTGGGCCCCAATTTTCATTTACATGAACTTCCCTGTATGCTGCTGTAGCTTGAAATGTGGAGTCAATATAATTGACTCCCACTTTAACACCCTTTTAAACTGCTGTAGCAGTGTACAGTGGTCTTGGTGTAACTGAGAATCACACTGTTTTTCTTTATACAGTGTCTGATTCTTAGTTCTATTAAGGACCCTTTACGTCTATGTAAAATACATTTGTACACACACTTTAATGCCCCTTTACACTACTCGCCACATTATAGTTGAGACAATTACTACATTGTGATGCAATTTATGAAAGCTGAAAGTCCCTTCTTGTTGATCACACATGCACTTTGCATTTCAGGTGTGCAGCAAGGGACAATGTGTTGATATCGAGAGAGCCTACAAGTCAACCAACTGTTCCGCCAAGTGCAATGGCCATGCTGTAAGATTTGAGTCTTATTGCCAATGACACTAAGAAAAGCTCTTGTGTGTGAACTAAAGCCCAGTTATGATGTTACAGTAACAGCTATAGGATTTTTTTAAGTCCAGGGGGTTGGGAACGTGTGATCAAATGAAAGAATCCAAATGAACTGAGTCCGAAACTTCCTATGGTTTCACAGGTTTCAGAGTAGCAGCCGTGTTAGTCTGTATCCGCAAAAAGAACAGGAGTACTTGTGGCACCTTAGAGACTAACAAATTATGGTTTCACAGGAGCATGTGTAACCCAATAATATATCAGTACCTTTGCTTAGGAGATCACATACAATGATAGCATAAATGATTTTTAGGAGGGAACATAGTCCTGGAGTAGCAAACTGGATGGAAGGAAGGAGACCTGGGCTCTATCCCTGGGAAAAATTCACACCTCTGAGCAATGTAGTTAGAGAGATCTAAATTTTAAGCGTAGACCAGGCCTTACCCTCCTTTATAAAGTGCTCAGAGGTCTAGAGATGTAGGACCTGATTCTCTGCTGCCACACACCTTGTGTAGTAATTTACATTGGTGTAAAATGCCATGAAGATGGACATGGAGCACTCTGCATTGGCTTTGCATAGGGTTACGGGACTGTACGAGGTGCAAGAGAGTGGAGAATCAGGCCTGTGAATGTGCATTGTAAGAAGTCAGTACTATGATTACGTGAGCTAACTTCTCATCCATCTGAATAGGAATTTTACACTTCACTGCAGTGGGACCATCATTGGAAGCCTGATCCAAAGCCCACTGAAGGCAGTGGAAAGATCCCCATTGACTTCAATGGGCTTTCAATCAGGCCTGATATACTTCTGTATAATGGGCCAAATTCTGTTCTTACACTGGTAAGAATGTGGATTAACACTAGCCACTGGCATTAAGCCAGCTTCTTCACTCTCTTGACCCTGATTTAAAGACTAATATCAGACCTCTGTTTCCTTAGGTGTGTGACCATGAACTGGTATGCCAGTGTGAAGAAGGATGGGCACCACCCAACTGCGATAGCTCTACAACAGTTCAATGTGAGTAGGCTGTGATAAAGTGAGATACTGGTCAGACTATAAACTGTGGGCCAAACCGAGCTGGTGTGAGCTGCACAGCTCCACTGACTTTAGTGAAACAATAGGGATTTGCACCAGCTGAAGCTATGACCATAAGGGCTTGTCTACACTTAAAACACTGCAGCACTGAAGACACTACCTATGCCGATGGGAGGGGTTCTCCCATCAGGGTAGGTAGTCCACCTCCAGAGAGACGGTAGCTAGGTTGATGGGAGAATTCTCCCATGGACCTAGTGCTATCTATACCAGGAGTTAGGTTGGTTTAACTATCTTGCTCAGGGGTGTGGATTCTTCATAGCCTTGAGTGACACGGTTATACCAACCTAAGTTCCTAGTGTAGACCAGGAGACAGCACCTTCTTTCCCCACGTATCTGCTCTCTGCATGTCTGTCATAGCTGCTTATTTGAGTAACTAACAAAAGCTGTTATTTTTGATAGCCCTAAAGAATTGGCACATCGCGGAGGGAGGGGAAGGAAGGAGGCTCTGTCTTCACTGCTTTAAAATGTGTTTTTTACACCTGTAAAATCCTGGTAGAGACCATCTCCCTGTAGTTTTTACCACAGAGTAGCTAGGTGAGGACAACGCTAAACCGCTTGCCTACAGTTGACTTCCCGTAATTTTGCCTCGTGGTAAAACGGTGCGTTTTCTCCACTAGAACTTTACAGCAGGATAGCTAATATGTTAGTCACCCCATGGTAGAAACACCTTTTTAAGCAGTGAAGATGACTCATTCCTGCCTTCAAGTATCTACAACAAAATAAAAAGCTAAATTGCAGTCAGAGGGGGTCACATGCAGAACTGGTGTAAGCAGCTGCATACCCATTGTGGTTGGTTAGAGGAAAGCCTTCTACACCAATTCTGAATTTGGTCCAGAGTCCCACAGAGGCGCTGTGAGGATTAGTATGTGTAAAGTGCTTTGAAGACAGAAACACCCAAACATACTGAATTTTATTAAGTCCTCACCTGCCCTCTCCCCAACTTGTGTTATTGAATAGGAAGCTTTTTAAGGTCATTATGTGCGAGATTGAGCTTGAAGGCTGAGCTCCCAGTACCGACAATCTGACATTACACATCTGCAGGAGAGGCACTGGGGAGACGGAAAATTGTGTCTCAGAGACACCACTCCAAATCACCATTTCTCTGGACTTCCATCTTTCATTGGTTGGAGCAATATGCTGCGTCAGCCTTTTCTGTGACACATCCTCCTCCCCCTGGCAGCCCTCTGGCTGACACAATGTCCTGATCTACTCTCCAACCTTCCGCCCATCTCCCTTGGGAGGTGATGAGTGAATATCGAGCAGACATGCAATTCTTGTTCTCCCCTTACATGCCTAGACCCAGGATTCAGCTAGACACAGCACTACATAGTCATGCAGAAGAACAGAGTGGAGTCTGTCTCCCTCATGTGGCTGCTTGTGACAGGAACACAATTTAGCCTTAAGAAAGCCCTTACCGTAGGAAAATGAGGCGGCCATATCTACATGCCTATGCTACCTCTCAGTGTTGTTGAGAAACAGTCACATGTTGCAATGTATCATCTCTGCAGATTTCGCCATCATTGCCGGTGTGCTAGCTGCCCTTGCCGTCATTGTGATAAGTGCTGCTTTAATCATCCGCTACCGAAACACTAAGAAGAAGCAAGCTCAGAGGTACCATGTTTATCCTTTTGGAATCAAAAAAATCTTGAAGGAATTTAGGCTGGAGCTTTTCAGTAGGAGATGGGCTCCTAGCTCCCACAGGCTTCTCTGAACTGTGCAGGAAGGATGTGAGATGTCAACCCCGGGACCTGAAAATGCCATGGTCTCACCCTGACCTCTCAGGACTAATTAATGTCCATACATTGCTCTTTAAAAAAGTAAACTGCTATATAAGTCAGTAGTAAGTCAGCTATTTAAACTCAACATGCGGAATGCTTTCCATGGTACAATGCCTCTTTTTTTAAGACAATTGAGATAACACATACAAACCGAAGTGCAAATTATAAGTCACATGGAATGTCTTTGTAGTGGCCAGAGCAGAGGTGTATCTGGAGAGACAAACCAAGGCTTCTCAGGGCAAGAACAGAAGAGAAGACCGAATGCTGCACCTGTCCAGGAGGTGAGAATCTGGATGTATGGTTGAGTTACAGACTGCTTGGTGCACCACATATATTATCGCATCACTGTAATAGAATGGCTAAAATTTCAAAACTTATCTGCAGTTACTTAATAGGTTACCTAGGGAGATGGTGCAATCTCCATCCTTAGAGGTTTTTAAGGCCTGGCTTGACAAAGCCTTGGCTGGGATGATTTAGTTGGTGCTGGTCCTGTTTTGAGCAGGATATTGGACTAGATGACCTCCTGAGGTCTCTTCCAACCCCAATCTTCTATAATTAATAAGGGCCTGAGTCTAAAGATTAATCTAGTGATTAGAGCAGAGTGCTTGGAATCAGGACTCCTGAGTTCCGTTCCCAGCTTTGGTAGGGTGTGAGTGCAGCTTAGTGGGTAGACCAGTTGGCTTAGAGTCTAATTTCTGTACTTTGTCAGTCTGGAGTGGGGGGCTGCGAGCAAAATCAATAAGCAAGATAAAGATTTTAAAGTAAGGCTCATGTCAAATTGCTTCTCTTTTCCTGTTTTCAGGTCCACGACACAAGATTCCTCCTTCCCACTCCTCCACGCCAGGCAAACAAGCCACAAGTCTATGTTGTAAGCACAACTGGAGACTGTTTTCTTTAAAAAAAAAAAAAACAATTTTATTTTTGATAAAGCCGAACACAGCATTCAAAGGGATGTAATGGTCAGCCCCCGCTGGGGCCAGATCCCAAGTCCATGGAAAGTGGACTGACTTCCACTGATGTCAGTGGACATTGAATCAGGCCCCTCTGTGTTGTTTCAGGGCTAACATAGATGGTTAGAAAGAGGGAATAATGCAGCCCACACCTGCTGTCTAGAATATATTCATATCCAAACAAACGCATTCCTTGCAAAATGGGCACTGGCAACTCATCCCAGGATTATAGATCCCAGTCTAGCAAAGCACTCATGTACCTACTTAGCCAATCTGTTCATTATCTGCTTATTCAATGAGACTATTCATAGGCTTAACGTTAAGCATATGCCTAAGGAATTTGCTCAGTCAGGAACAAAGAACTCGCAACTGAGAAAATAACTGAATAGCTGCCCAACAGTGAGAGCTTGTGAGCTCCTATCTGGCCTTTAATTGCTAGCAGCAGTGGGTGTACATCAGAAGTAGGTGATATATGCACAAGAAAAGGTGAAAATGCTCTCAACCTTTTAGTGCTTCTCTCATTTTGCTGAAGAACGGAGCCCATTTCACAGAAAAGTTTGCCAGGTTTCAAAGTTTTCACAGGAAAACGGACCCTTTCAAAATTCAAAAAGTCTAACATAGAAATCTTAAGCTTTTGATGCAGAGATAGTAATTTCTTTAAATTTTGCGGGAAAGAAAAATGTAATGGGTGTGAAATCACTAGAAACAAATACAAATATACCTTGTGCAAAAATTGCTACCAGTTTTGCTTAGCTCTAATATACTTCAATACATTTTGGAGATCTTTCCTCTTTGATGATGGGTGTCCAACTCCCATTAATGCTAACAGGGGACTTGCATGTGCATATCATGGAAGAATAGGCCTCAGAGAGTAAAAGATTATCATCACATATTTTGATATGCTATTGATCCATTATATATATATATATGCGCAACTGCAAAGCATATGCTACTGATCCAATATATGCACAACTGCAAAGCATCCCAGGTCTACAGACTCCTACACCAATTTTCAATTCCACAGTATATCTATGCAAGTCTTCTGTTTGTCTGTTTGATGGACTTGTTTCTGTGCACCTTCATGAGTTTGCTATGAGGCCACCTATGAGCTATAAGAGCTTGACACGATGGAAAGACTTCCATTTGCCTCCTAGGCAAGTCCTTTGGGTAGATTCAATATACAAAGCCATGCCACTTTAATAAGGCTTTTGTAAATATTGGCCAAGAGACAAGACTGAGCACTGAGCCTGATTCCACAAAATGCTTAGTGCCGCATCATCTACTCATGGACGCTCAGCATCACGAAGTAGGTGATTTGTATCTTTCAGGATTGGCCCTATTGTGATTAGAAATGGGCCCAAAACAAAGCTCTAGATCTAAACAATCCCTAACGGTTTGGGAAATTTGTGCCCCTTCCCCCCTCCCAATCCAAATTTGTGTGTTTCAGGCCCATCTCTAGTGGCGACATCTGAGCCAGAGCAAAATAATCTCGGCGCTACAATGATTAGAGTTCATAGATTTGAAGGTTTAAGGCTGCAGGCAGAGCATACACCTTAAAGAATGCTTATTGGATCGGATTTATCTTGATATTTATAAAAAGACCCCTCTCCCATCTTCAGGTGCATGCTCATCAATTATAAAGCAATTAAAAACACAAATAGTTAAACAGATACGTCAGCTCCAAAGGATTAAAGAGAAGACCAGGACAAAAACTCCAACTTCAATTTGCCACCACATCCCCTCTGGTAAAAGCCTGGGGAAACAGATAAGTTTTATCAGTAGCGTCCTAGATGTCAAGTACTACAATCTGTGCTATATTCAGCTGTTTGATGTTAATAGTTCAGCATGCTGTCTGCAAGAAAACTGTAAGATGCCTTTTTGTTCTGCAACACTAACATATTGTAACTTGTTGTTGCTCCCTAGAATATCCCAGAGGAGAGATCCAATGGCAGGCCAGCCATCCACCAAAATACAAAAATGGTGAGAACCTCGTAAGTGGATTTAAAGAGTGAAATATTGGTCCCATTGAAATCAATGGCAAAACTCCTCTTGACTTCAATGCAGCCAGGATTTCATCTCTAGACTTGTAAGGTTGGGACAATTCTGAATTAGGGACAGAGGCCTTTATGTTTTTTCTCTCTCACGCACAATATCTCAGAGCAAACATTTTATTTTCTTCTTTTTCAGCCTATCGTAAAGCCAACCATTCCACCACCTCCAGTTCCTACTGCCAAACCAAGTTTTTCTCCAGGCATGGGCAATTCTGTAAGTAGACTTCCATAATCCTGGTCCATTCTTTTCTCATGTATTTTATCTAACCAAGTTACACATGTGATATAATCATGATGTAGTGGACACTAGCCAGTGTTTTCAGTTTCTAGTTTTATGGTTAAAACTGATGGAAGCTAATTTGATTGTAAACTCTTTGGGGATGGGACCATCTTTTTGTTCTGTTCTGTGTTTGTAAAGCACCTAGCACAGTGGGGTCCTGATCCATGACTCGGATGGCTAGTGATACAAATAATTAATAGATTCGGTAGGTCCCATTTTTGTAGTGTTCCTATGTATAGCGGGTTGAGTAGTCACTAAAATGGCCTCAGATATACTGAAGAGAAGAGGTCATTGATAATTTTTAATACAATTGAGGAGAAAATCATTTTAAACACAGTGAGCCTGGTTTGCATTTACACTAAGGCCACATCGCACTAACAGAGCTGTAGAAAGGCACCATTGGTGTAAATGAGAAAAAGGCCAGGAAGTTTGCCTAAAAAGCAAAATACCCAACCAAACCACCACTCAAACTCTTGCTGTCACAGGGCTTGAGCCTCCAGTCCTTATTCAGACTAGCGATTTCTTCTCCTGCTAGTAATCCCATCATAGTCAACGCTACTGCTTGCACAAGCAAGGATTTTTCATTAAGGTTTTGATTCAGCAAAGCACAAGCATGTGTTTAAAGTTAAGCACAAGTCCCATCGACTTCAAATGGGACTTAAGCACATGCTTAAAGTTCAGCATGTGCTTAAGTGCCATCCAGAATAGAGATGCTTTCCTCAGTCATTGCCTCAAACACGTGCCTGGCTTTAAGTAGCTGAATAGCCCTACTGACCACCCTTTGCTGATAGAGATGAATTTATATCCCATGCATAAAGTTAAGCATATACTTAAGTGCTTTCCAGAATCAAGACGTGTATTTCTGTCTGTTTACATTTGTTGTGTGTGTAGGGGAAAGATATTTAGGATCACAATGCTACTTGCTTATCTACCTTTTGTCTCTGGAAATGTCTTGGTAAATATGGGAGAGAACCCCAATAGCACCTCAGCTCTGTACTCACTTTAAAAGGAAAACAACTATATTTTTGTCACAGGTAGCACAGACGAAGTCCACTCCTTCACCAGTCCCTAAGGGCAAACCTGCACCCCCACCACAGGTAAGTCAAGTGCACCATACACATGATATTCCAAGTATGACTGAAGGCAAAATAGAGATCAAGATAAATCTTAACACAGTGCTGCCAATTCAGGATTTCACTGTGAGCTGCAGGATTCCTGGTATTTTTTTCCACAAGGCCCATCCTCCTGGAGTCATGTTACAACAAACTCAAAAACAGTAAGTTTTTAGCACTCATGGCTGTGGAGAAGTGATATAAAACATGACTCCTTAAAGGCTCAAAAATTTGAAGACAAAGAGAATCCAGTCTGCTTACTTTGGGGGGAGAAATGGGGGAGCAGCGCAGAACCAAGATTTTTGGACACACAGAGCTGTCAATACTGTTATCAGCACAGTCCAGTAGTTGGTATTTAAAATGCTTTTACTTTCTAATTTTCTTCTCCTGTTTGCATTACAGTGAAAGGTTTGAATCCTGTGATAAAAGTACAGAATCTTAGCAGCACTACTCTGCACGCGATCTAGGCTCTGACCCTGCAGAGACTTATTCTGTATGCTTAACTTTAAGCATCTGACTAGTCTCAGCATGTGCACAGGTCTCTGCAGAGTCGGTGCCTTTGAATGATTACTCTTTCATTCAGGGACTGTCATGTTGCTATATATGAGTACAATGTCTAGCATAATGGGGCCTCTACGTACTACTGCAATACAAAAATTATTCTGTAGAACTGTGGGCCAAATTTCAATTACCTTTACTCATGCTGAGGAGCATTTTATACAACATGTGATTCAGTGGGACCATTCTCAGAGTAAGGTGTCATTCAGAATGAGTAAAGGTACGAGATCTGGCTCTTAATAGGGTTGCTGGAATATAAGATCAAACCATTTGTCCATCAAGTCTAGAATCTGCAGCAATGGCTATTCTGAGGCTACAGAGATATGAACCCCCCCCCCACAATGCATCTCACCACATTGTGCAATGCTGAATAGAATTTGTGGAAAATCTTGTGCCAGTCACTTGATTTGTTCATTTGTTTGTTTTCACTCAGGCTTTAAAACCACCAGTCAAACCCAGAGTATGAAGCTACTGAAGAAGAATTGATCGAGATTCCTGACATTCTGAGGGACTGTTTCCATCTCTGTTCACCTTGTGGTTCCTGCCTTTGCCAAGGGGAAATGATGATAGTGCCAATAACTTTTTTTTTGTAAATGGACTAGCAATTTCCTTGAAAGAAAATGTGTTTTTTCAAATAATGTTGTAGTCCTTGGATAGTGACATCAGCCTGCCATTCCTGGCTTTCCTGATGAAAAGCTAGGGGAATAGCAAACTGCACTGAGGGGTAGACCATATGTGAGTTATTAAACCAGCTCAGTATATGTTTTAGGTTGGACATTAAAAAAAAACATCTTAACTGTCAGGGTGGTGGTTAAGCACTGGAATAAATTGCTTAGGGAGGCTGTAGAATCTCTGTCATTGGAGATTTTTAAGAGCAACTTAGACAAACACATCAGGGATGGTCTAGATAATACCTTATATTATAATAATAATAGTCCTACCATGAGTGCAGGGGACTGGACTAGATGACCTCTCCAGGTCCCTTCCAGTCCTATGATTCTATAGTCTAAGATTTGGGAAAGTCTGTAAATTGCAAACTACATGTAAAGTTAAAGGACCATCAAAGTAGCTGGATCAATGACCCAACATTACCTTCAGTGGTGAACAATACCTGATGTTTCAAAAGGAGGTGCAAAGCTGTCCATAGTAGAACAAAATTCCTTCCTGACCCTTGGAGGAAGTCAGCTTGTATCATTGAAGCATGAGGCTGGATTACCTTCCTGTTGGTCAGTTCATTAGCTCTTGCACTGATTGGCAATGCTTGAGAAGTATTTTGGTTTGGAAAAGATCCTTTGGGATTATAGTACCCCTTTATTCTCAATCACTTAAAAGGCCCCACAGTGAGCCATTTTGAGTTGGGAAGATTGGAGACATGATCAGAGACTGTATGAGAGTCAACCAGCTAGTTGCTTGGATCACAGGTCTCCTGGAGAGCATGCTTTGCCAGCCTGACATGGAACTTCAGATGCCATAATTGAACTCCAAGGACAATGAAATAAAATCCCTTAATTTGTTTTATTCACCACTTAGTTCCAGAAATATCTACTTCACCCACCCCATTCCAGCAGCAACCAGGGCTGGCTCCAGGCACCAGCCGAGCAAGCTGGTGCTTGGGGCGGCAGCTTGTAGGAGGCGGCATTCCGCCCAATCCTACGGCGGCACGGCCGCTTTTTTGGTTGTTGTTGTTGTTGTTCCGCTCCGGCAGCCCTGTAGGGGGTGGCGGCGCGGAGGACGGGAGCGAGCTGCAGCAAGCCCAGCAGGGCAGCCTGCGTCCTTCTCTCCCAGCCGACTGGAGCGGCGCGGAGCCCTCCCGGCAGGCGGTGCGGCGGGAGGGGCCGCGTGGCAGCGCCCCGCTGAAGCCGTGGCCGCCCCCCTTCTCTCTCTCCCCCCGCTCCGTCCCCCTCCCCCTCTAGCCGGGGCACATCTGCAGGGCAGGGAGTCCCTCTGCACCCTGGCTCTGGCCGCGCCGCTTAGGTTTTTTTTTTTTTTCTTGCTTTGCCGTTTTGGCTGCCATGTTTTTTTTTTTTTTGCTTTGGGTGGCCAGAAAGCCAGAGCTGGCCCTGGCAGTGACACACTGGTATTTTCTTAATTGTAGGATTACTCTTTGCACTCTGCTGTATTATTGTAAGTGTGCTAATGAGTACTAGGCTGGGCACATTGATTTATTATTGTAAGACTGCTCCTGGGTATGGGGCTTTGCACACTAAGATGTTACTAGAAGGTTGTTCAGTAGTTCTGGGCTGCTGGTACTGCTGTTGTTGATACTTGTGGCATTGATATGATTGATGTTACTAGCATCAATATATTTAGGTTAAAGCACATGGGAGTATGTGTCAAGGAAAAATGTTACAAAAAATAAGATTAACCTTGTATCCAAAGCACCCAAAATTTCACAGAGGTTCCAGTTTGAACCAAGTTTGGTTCTAGGTCAGATTCAAAAGCAGAATGGTCCTTTCATTTTCAGAACTGGTTAGGATGTGGCTCAGGAAGGCAGATTTCCACCACCTGAGCACAAAAGTGTCGCTAAGGGAGATCTTCTCCCGGCTGGAGAACCACCGAAGTGAAGTCATAGCCTTGAATTAGCCTCCACGTGAAATTTGGAATCGCCTCCTAACTCAAATCCCGATCAGGTTCTGAGCATTCCGTTTGGCCTGTTCTTTAAAATGAGCCATATCCTCAGCTGGTGTAAATCTAAGCTGCATAGATGTTAGCAAAGTTGTGCCAATTTGCACTAGTTGAAATTCTGGCTTACAAAAGTCTTATTGATAGTCAACAGCTACGTTAAAAAAAAAAAAAAAAGGTAGATAGAAGTATTGACCTGCCCACTGTTTCTCTGAAACAAAAACAAAAATGTGAAAAATATCCATTCCTCCTTTTATGCTGTGATTTCCTTTGGGCTGTCAATCAAGCACTATAAAATAAAGAACAATGCTATGAAATGATAATGTTACTTGCCTTGTAAGCTGTCAGTTTTGGGTGTACATTTATTTTTAGATTAACTTTATTGTGAGACCATTTGCGTCTCCTACTATGGGATCATTTCTTCTCCATTTGTATTTAGAGATGTATTTAATATAAGCAAGTTTAAACATGGTGTATGAAGATTTTAAAATGTTATTTTTATTACCTATAAATAATGTATTTACAAAGATTTCTGTATTAAAATGTTCTAACAAAAACAGAGTATTTTTTGTAGAACATTCTCCATTGCACATAATACATATGAAAGAGGAGTGGGATACTTTATCATCCTATAAAATCCACGGGACTCCAAATTTTGCTCAAAGTGCCCAGCAAAGTTTTGTATTAATGCAATGGGATGGATCTTCAGTGGATGTAAATTGGCATAGTTCCATTGAATTCACTTTATATTAGCTGAGGAAATGGCCCGATTGCTCTAAATCAGAGAGAATAAAACCCCTAAATGCTTGATGTAAAAATCCACCTTCTTTCACTTGGTCTATCCAGCTAATTTATCTAGCTCGTGGCTATATAGATAATTATTTGACCACAATCATCATAGTATCGGAGCTCTTTGAAATGAGTAAAGCAAATGCCCAATGCTCAAGAGTTGCTTCTCAATTGGACCAGTCGTCCAGACAATAGCGCATGTATGCAGCAATAGCATATATGTTGCTCTCTATCTTTACTCTAGCATAGACTCCTGCCAGCCATAGCACAAACTCCAGAGTATATTTGTACATCCCCATTGTTCTGTTATACAAACATGACATCTGCTGTTAGAAAGCCTCAACTGCAAGCAGAAAGCAGCCCAATCTGAGCCAATAATATACAGGATGGAAGAATACTTGTGACATTTTCAGATGACAAAACTTCCAGGGCCTGTTCTGCTGCCCGCAGCTGGTGTAAGTCAGCAAAGCTCCATTAAAAGCCAATGGAGTTGCACTGATTTACACCATCTGAGGCTCTGCCCCCAAATATTTGCTATCTTTGATCTGGCAACAGATTACATAATGCGCAGTTGGAAATGAAGGCTATGCTGGAGGGCTGGTAGGTCTGAGCGTTTGACAAGTCTCAAACCCTTGTGTTGTCACCAGAGTTCAGCTGAAAAGGGGGCATGGCCAGAGAACAGGTGCATCTTTGGAAACATAGGTATGTCTGTCCTGCAGTCACAGGGTGCAATTGCAGTTTGAGCTGATGTACTTGAGATAGCTAACTAGGTTTAAGCTCGGGACCCAGATCAATGAAGACAGCAGTACAAGCTTCAGTGTGGCTTTTACAAATCCATCTGGAATCCTGGGTAATTACTCATGTGGCTAGGCCGCACTGACGTTCTGGGACCTGGCCTAGCTTGATTAAAGTTAGCTCAGCTACATCATGTGGCAAATGGCCGACACTACAGTGGTGGGTCCCATGCTTTTTCTTAGTGTGGTGGGTCAGGGCACTGCCCCTACCCCTATTCTTGGGTGTCAATGGCTCTGCTAGTGCCCTGTTCGGGGAGAAGCCGAGTGGGAGAAGGGACCCAGGTCTGCCCCCTAATCTAGGTCTCATCCCCTTCAGTTTAGCGGACTTCTTACCCTCTTTGCCCTTGGACAGGGTTTCTCTTGGTCTTCCTGCCCGAGCAGAGGGACTCCCCCTGGCACAGGTTTCCTTTCCCCTGGTACTCTGATCCTTTGGTCAATAACAGTACCCCTCCAGACTACAGTCAGCTCTCCTTCCCACCTCCTGTCTGACTGAAGCAGGGGGTTATTAGGTCTCTGGCCTGGCCTTAATTGGCTCAATGTGCTCTAATTAACCTCTCCTTAGTCCACAGGGAACAAGGCCCTGATCATCCTGGGGCTCCCATCTCTCACTCTCCTGCTGCATCACAGTCAGCTGAAGCTGTAATTGTATCCTGTAAGGAATGGACTGTGCACAGACTTGCCTAATGGTTGGAACTGGGTGACCGGGCATACAGTCAGAACCCAACTCAGGAGAAAGTTACCAAGTCCAGAGAGCAAGCCAGAACTGGGGTGGGGGGCGGAACCAGGGGACCAGGACGAGATTAGGAGCTGAATACCAAGTCCAGGTCGGAGCCAGTGTCAGACGCCAATACTAAGTCCTGGGAGTGAGATGGAGCTGAGAGCCGGAAGTCAGAGGTCGGAACCAGAGTATCAGCTGAAGCAGGAACCAAGAACTGGGAGCTAGAGACCAGGTGTGGGGACCAGGGACAGAGGCAGGAGCAAGTGCCAGGAGTGAGGAGGGAGCCAAAAAACAGGAACAGGATGTGCAACCAGAAACACAGCTGTGGGCAAGGAACACTACAGAGCAGCCAGCAACCTGGGAGGCTGCAGGGTTTAAGAATTTGACTGCTAGAGTCTTTAGCCTGTCAGGAGGCCAGGTTCATTAACTTGAATCAACTGAGTGCAATGAGCTGTGGGTCCTGACACACCCTATGATTGCAGTGTAGACATACTCCTCTCTCTTAAGTAAGACCCTCGTCATGCTATTTGTTCCCATCTGTGATTTCAATCCTAGAATTAGGGAGCACCCCAGCCATGTGCTCAACATGCATAGGGCCAAGCCACCCTGTGCGCCTGTTCCATTCCACACCTGCACTGGGCAGCATCAGAACGGCCATACTGGGTCAGACCAAAGATCCATCCAGCCCAGTGTCCTGTCCTCTGACAGTGGCCAATGCCAGATGCCCCAGAGGGAACAAACAGAACAGGTCATCACCAAGTGATCCATCCCCTGTCGCCCATTCCTAGCTTCTGGCATCATGACCACGGTGCAGTATTTTACAGTTACGGGTGTAAGAGATCTTGGCCTGGTGGAATCAGTGAGTAAACACTGGGGCTGGTTGGGAATTTCAGTGAATTTTTTTGGAGGGGGGGGGCAAAAAATGCCTATTTGTTGCATCCAAAACAGTTTGTGAAACAGGTGCAGTTCCAATGCATCTCCTGACTCCAAAAAAAAGTGGTGAAAAAAATTCCAAAATTGTCAGAAATGTCCCACTTCAACATTTTTGAATCGGAAAATTTTGTTTTGAGTTGAAATGACTTTTCATTTTGAAATTTTAGTCTTAAAAAAAAAGTTAAAAAAACAAGGTTGAAATTGAAAAAATTGACTAAATTTGAACTTCTCTAAATGAAATGTTGCAATTCCAATTTCCAGTTTGTAAAAGTTTGAAATTTTTATCCCAACTTGGAACATTTTTTTCACTCTCTCAAAGATGTTCCCGGCACAGGAAAACAGCTTCCTTTCCCACTGTAGTTAACAGGGACAGGGTCAGCTTTCACAGATGCAGGGATTCAAGTAAGGGGGAATTGTGGGGGAAATGCACCACCCCTTCCACTACTACTACTACTACTACAAACAAAGGGAGAACTTCTAATCCCCTCCCTGGCTTGGATAAGTGCTCCCCCCCCGTCCAGTACCCTCCCCTTCTGGGCTGGTGCTGTGAGAGCCCCTCCTGCTGTTTCCATTGACTTTAAAACCCTGCACTCACCCTCCCAAGTCCTCAAGAAATTTTGTCGCAAAAAGCGGCCAGTCCCTTTCCCCTGCATACCCACAAA